GCGGTCGGGCAAAGTAAACGCATTCGCTAACTTTTTCATAATGTTGATATGGCACAAACGTGTCTTCTTTGACGTGTTGTCTCTATAAAACAATGACAAAGATGTTATAATAAAAACGTTAAATTTTGCACATCTAGTCATGAATAAGACTATCTAAATAGGTCAACATTATGAAAGCTCTTCTATTCTATTCTTGCAGTACCCCTTGCTCTTCCACTCCCCTCGGAGCTCCAGGATTAGAAATGGCCTCCATATTTTACTACCACGCAGTTCTTGACAATAAGAATTTATTTAGAAAATTTTCAATTTATTAGCTTCGATCTTTAAATATTTTTTTTCGATCAGACGTGCGAGATCGAAACGGCAACCGGGGAGACCGGGTCTCGCTGAGATCTCGTCGTCTCCGAGAAGAAACACTATCCTCGAGACAGGATACTCGGTATAAGAAGAAATCGTTGATGGTAAGCGATACGCGCGAGTTTCCTGAGAGAGAAACGCGCGTATGCGTAAGACTTCTCTCGTTGGGCTACGTTAAGCGTCAATATATCGACCAATATATCGATCGCGATTATAGACGGAGCTCTCTTTCTCTCTCTCTCTCTCTCTTTCTCTCTCTCTCGGCCCGACGTTGTTGCATCAAGACGACAGCGGCAATATCGACTTACATTACACGACCGAACGAGCATCTATCTCGGTGGGAACCGAAGCCCCACGAGCTTCTTGAGTTTTTCTCAACGGCTATGATCACTCGACTCGCCCGAGATTCTGAATCCTGCGCACGCCACGTCGATCGCTATGCCGGCGAACGATGAAATCGACGAGGTGGAACCGGCGCTTTGCTGAAAGCACGTCGAACTCGCGACATCGCATTTCTTTCTCTTTCTCTCATCTTCTCTCTCTCTCTCTCTCTCTCTCTCTCTCTCTCTCTCTCTCTATCTATCTCTCTCTTTCTCGAACTTCAAGGAAAAGTTTTACTTGGTTACAGGAAAATGTCTATATTAAGCCATAAGGAAAAAAATACGGAATACGTTTTCGCGGTAAATTTATTTCCAAGTATAGCAATGTTGAATTAAGCAATTATCAGCATATCATGCGATTAAATGTATAATAACCCAATTAACTGAATGATTTATAAGAATTTCGTAAAAATGATTTATACAAGAATTCGAGGCAAAAAAAGATTCGATTTTTTTAAATTGCAACATCTACTGATAACAAAGTGACTGCTGTGTAGCTTCTATGCAGTTCGCGAATATCAAGGTCGACGGCAGTCACGACTCACGATCGCCTGGGCCGACGCGCGATCTCTTTTCTCGACGCGCAAAAGAAATCTCCGAACAATCTTAAGTCGGTAGCGATAGAGAAGATGAGGTCGATCGAACCACCGGATAGCGGTAGCACCGCAGGGGGAGGGCGGGGGGAGGAAGAAGAGATGGGGGATCGAAATGCAAGAAGAGCGGGGGCGGCGGCTAGATGGGAGGGAAACCGAGAAACGGCGAAATGACGGCGGTCGATGGATGGTTCGTTAAGTAGATGGCTGGTCGGAGGACTAAGCACCAAAACCACCTCACTGTGGTTTCACACCCGCGGAGTGAGAGAGAGAGAGAGAGAGGGGGGGAGAGGAAAGGGCAAGAGAAAGAAAGATATAGAACAGCAGTAAACAACTCGGAGTTCCTTTGGTCAGGAGTCGTGTGTTCTTTCAGCCAGGATCGTCGACGACGAGGCTGCGATCCTTGTGACAAGAAAGAACTAAGAAGAAGTCACCTTCTGAGAATCGGTCATCAGCGACAACGCGAGCATTAGCGTGACGACAATGGTCAGCTGTGCCATGAATGTCAACTCAACGACGACGACGACGACGAGCGAAATAGAGCAGGGTGACGTCGATCGATTTAAATTATTAATCGAATAACGATATGGAAAATCCGCTTCGGGACTTGCCCGCTCTTATTTTTGTAGATCGGATTTTACACTCCACATTGCGCATGAGAGCGCGGGTTTCCCTGTACGTAGGAGAAGAAAAACGTAAACGTAAATGACGTAGCTAATTTACATTTAATTATTTGTCGTTTAATATACTATAAGTAATCCGATTCACATTTAACTTTTCCGTAATATGCAATATTTTTTCATCCGCGTAACGATCTATATTTATCCAGGTTGCCAAATCCAGCGGTTAGAAAACACGATTATGTATTTTTTTTTAGTTTGAATTCGGAATACTGTTTTATTAGTCTGATCTATTACTAATTGTATTGCAAAGACAATTGCAAGAATATAATAAAATAAAATGATTACATGCATTGTATATATAGATTATCGTTAATTGGAACGACAAATTCAGAATTGTCTCTAAGAAAAAAAGTCCGGGGACGTATGGTCACCGTACTAATAAAGCATTGTTAAAGCAAAAAAGGTGGACGAGAAGAAGAGGAGGAAGAGGATAAAAAACGATCCTTCGTTCTGAATGGAATAGGACGCGTTATTTTTTTTCTTTTCTCACTCGTCCGCTCATAGAGAATCATTCGGGAGAAACGGGGACTATTATCCAACAGATGGTCCTGCCGACACCAATCCGCGTAGAGTGTTGTGTTAGTGCCTTTGTTTTGTTACCGTTGTTCCGGTAATTGCGGCAAATACACGGCCATTTTCGGTAATCACCCCCTTCTGCACCCTGCGCCCGGATCGTCCCGCACCGGCGGCCCTCTTTGAGAATTTCGAAACGACCTCGACCTTCCGCTTAGTAGGCGTAACGACAGTTTTACCCAGGAACCGATCGGAACCGTACCTCGACCTCACCTCACGATAGAATCTAACTGATCCGAACGATATTCGAAACTGTATCATTTTGTACCTGTCGCGTGTGTATCAATGGCCTGAACTGAATCCGATTACAATTTCTGCGGAAACTAGAACGTCGGCCTGCGACTAATTAGCATGGAAATCCCGATCTACATATATCATTCGACAATTATAAGCGTCACAAGTACAAGTGTCGCAACTGATAACGGATTCCTGTTAATATTGCTAAATAGGGGAAACTTGAAAGAGATCTAACGAATTCACGAGAATAGTATTTTACATATATTTTCCATATGAGAAGAACCAGAGGTATTCCCCACACGCGCGCGCGAAGGCTCGCACGCGAAAAAGGTAATTCCGACGAGTTTCGTGTTAATTTTCCTCAAAGCTGTGAATAAAACGTTTAGCGAAGAGATATAATTATCGTTGGAGAACATGCTGTTAACAGAGATTTTATTAGACGTCTCACGATATAAATTATATCGAAAGCTTATTTTAGATAATGATTTCTATAAAAAGACAAGATAAATTGAGACTGAAATAAGATATACATATAAGATTGAGATAAAAGAAATTTGAAATTTAAGAATTTCCGAAATTTTATAAATATTATTACTTATTTGAAATTTCTTAAAAACTTTCAAGATTTTTTTCAAACTTTCTGTAAGAGAGATCGGTGCATTTCGGAACTTGATGATGATTACAGTGAAGGGATTCCTAGAACAGAGTAACTGGTGAATACCCTTTTGAGAACCGAGTTTATCACTAATTGATCTCCACCTGTCCGGCGATAATCATCGATGATTTTGCGGATTTTCCACCGATTCTTTCCGTTTGAGAAACGCTGACATTCTCAAGTATGCGCTATTGCACGCTAACGTCGAATTAAGATCATTATTAATTCATGATATTTTAAGAACATAAATATTAAGAATTAATTATAGCAAAATAATATCTATAATACCGAAAGAATTTATAAAATGCAAAAAACACATAGTACATAATATACAAAAATTAAATTTTATGTAATGTTGTATCCAATCCAAATTTAAAAATATTTTTACAAAAGTACTTTGGATATTTTATAATTTTACGCAATGCCCTTCTAGATAAGATTAAAATAGAATCGTGTATCATACGGATATATATTTTAATTGAACGAAATGTTTCATCGCTTTACACATATATGGGACAATGACACCGAAAAATTTCTCCGAATCATATGTGATTCATCGCATTATCATTTCTCTCTCTCTCTCTCTTTCTCTCTCTCTCTCTCTCTCTCTCTCTCTCTCTCTCTCTCTCTCTCTCTGTCATTCTCTATGAATGATTCTATACATAATCGGGACGCATGATGCTATAAAAATCCCGGTGCATACGATGGTATATCCCAGTAATAGCCATAAAGAGAAATAATATTACTAATACTTCCGGCAAATGTAGAGCTGCGAAGAATGATGATTTGTGACTTCTTTCGTGGAAACGAGATTGCAATTGATAAGATAATTTCTGCCGGAACTAAAATGCATATAATAATAAAATACTTGGATCACGAAGAAATCATTTATGCAGAAGAAGATCCGAGAGAATGATACGATACGATTTGAAAGTTGCGAGTCATTCAAGCGTACATTTACACTTTTACCAGCACGATTGTTACGCAATCGTCACTTTATTTAATGATGTCGATCTCACGCGACTCGTCTAACATCGTTACGAGGCGCACGCACGATATGCACATACATTCACTTCCAGCGTTTAAGTTTCCGTCGCGCCTGCCTTCGACTCGTGACTCATATCAATTAATCTGCCTATGTTACTCACTCGAAACTCCGTTACCGACTCATACGATTTGCTGCGCATTTTAAGAAGCTCCTTTTTACAGTACGCAGCCATAAGACAATTCAGTCCCTTGATTTCTGATGGATCACATACGGGATTTATGTGAATTAAGAGATGAAATGTTGAAATAGTATATACAAATATACGATTTCTTGTGTATGTATTGCACAAGAATTGTACTGCATTATAAATTTGTGCATTCCACGTGGTACGTCACAATTAACAATTGTAGTGAATAAAATATAAATCTAATATCAATCTTGTCTTGAAAATTATGTATGTCATAATTAATCTTATTCGTGTAGAATGTATAAAATTAATTGATTCTAAAGAAAAATAACATCTTTCTGTTACAGACACGGGTATCGGTACTGCAGAATGGACTTATCCGTCCACAGCAACATCTTATCCGGCGCCTCCGGTCAGCAGCAGCGGTTCCTACTCCCCTTTACCCGGCGGTGCATTTTCATATCCGGGGGAATCACTGTCACATCATCCGACGACGGAACCGGTGCCATTACCAACCGGTAGGTGATTAATTAATACATAAGGCAATCAAAAAACCTGAATTGATTTACCTCGCCTGATCCAGCAATGTGATTCGCCGACGCACTGCTAATTAAGAAACACCTACGACTGTTTTAATAACATTGTGACGCATAACTCGTTCCGGGAAAAAGTTTCGTAACACGCTATCTCGGTGTTTCATTTGTATCTATTTTAGAAACTATATTATAGTCGATTTTTTTCAGATTTGTGGAAACCCACAGAATATAAATCGCCTTGTCAACAATTATTTACAAAAATAGTAGCGATCATTCGTAATAAAACGAAGTTGCGCCGCGCCTTGGAGACTCCGCAAGTTACAGTAGTTGAAATCTTTCAAAAAATCTATTACAAACGTATAACAAATTTTTCGACGACTGTCGTTACTTGCGCAATTTGTTTGTTATAAATTTTCTTTACAGCGAACGTAATTTTACTGTAACTGCTTTCACGATTATCGAACGGTTTGGAAATCAGAGCGACATCGACTTTCTGCTTGCAGTGCTCCCTTCGGAGACTCAGCAGGACACCTACACGCCGAATTGCGTGTCCATGTACTCAGGACACGGCACCTCGCCGACCACGTCCTTGCCCTTGGTGCCGACCAGACCCAGCGACCCTGACATCTTTGCCGGCGGTGGCACGAGCAGCGCGGGCAGCCCGGGTTACCATTACAGTTCCTGGACACCTGGCCCGGCGACCCCGGTCCCAGTGGCTTCCCACAATTACAACCCCAATTACCAGGGTTACTACAACAATCCGAGTCAGAATTACATTACGGGTCCGACGCCGATGGTCCTCTATCCCCAGCTCTACAGCACCGTCAATCAAAATCAGATTCATCTGCATCTGCACGGCGATCTGAGCGATGAGCAGGTCACCATAGCCGGTGGCAATCTTACCATCAGCAGCATCCGAGAGATCGGCGTGCTGGGCGAGGAGAGCGAGCAGAGAAACGACGTGTGGAGGCCGTACTAAAAGGACGAGTTCTGTGCGAATACAGTTGAAATTGTTTGGAGCGGTGTATCGTGTGAATTGCAGTGCGCGCGAATCTCCGAATGTGGCAATATGATTTCTAATTAGTGCTCTAACTAGTGCAACATACAACAAAGACAGCGCGATCTGTACCAAGTACTTTCCGGAAGAAAGACGTCCGCCGTAAGGTAATTGTTATATGAATAGCAATATTTCTTCGACAGTTACGCGAATTATCGGTGTCTATAAGAACCCAGTTGGCGAATGATATCCGGTGTTTCGTAGTGTGTCGCGTATGTGAAAGTGAGAATTATTGACTCATTCACGTTGAAACGAAGTGAGATAAACTTTATTAAGAAAGACTTCCTCAATTTATGAAAAATTAACCAGTAATGGGAGATTTCATTAAACGAAGCTAATTATGAGACTATAATCAATGAGTGAAGAATCGTCACTGCGCGCACAAAAGTGAATAGCCTTTCGATGTTTCGTAGTGATCTCGCGTATATAAAATTAATTCATTCACTTGAACATGAAACCAAGTGAAAAGTTTTAAGTTTTTTTTACTGGAAAAATAAAACTTAAAAGAATCAATGAGCGTCTATCTGAGATCTCGTTAAACAAAATTGATGAAATTAAATTAACGACTGTAGTTATGTGCGCGCAAGGCGGAATCTTCATCCTCATTCAATTGTTTCTCGAAACGAGTTCGGAGAATCGGATCACGAGACTATCGTTTCTGATTCTTGAGCGGAGAAGTTAGTCAAACCCTGTAACGTTGTAAATATACACATATTTTCAGAAATGAAATAAATTTTCCCGATAGGTTTTTAAATCCTTTCTTTTAACGTGTCGTGAACAATTTTTCAATACAAAGTATCAAGGATAGCCAAATACACATCTGAAATTATTCCTCTTATATCCAGAATATATTATGTGAATAAACTTTTTTAAACTCTTCCATGAATTTAAGATTAATTTCAGAGATGACGAGTGGATCGTTCCGTTGGGGTCTTCGCACGTAAATACAATAGAAAAATCTGCATTTGCGCATGGGAACGGATTATGTAGCAACGCTGTTGTCTCTTTCGCCATGGGGGGAATGGATAACCCTTTTTACGAGCGCAGCAAGCTCTATTTAATATTTAAAGCACGTTGGAAATGACGAACGGATGGATAGTTGCGGTCTGGCTGGTCGCGACATCGTCGGTTCGTCGTTCTTGCGTCCCTTTATTAGCGAGTCCACCCCATACTGGCTACGTGTCAGCTAAATCTTTAAACTTGCCTCACCTAAATTAACCCGCAGGATATTTTGTGCAACAGCTAAATTATTTATCGATAAAAATCACGGATCGCGACTAAATGATAGATTCACATGCTAGTTAAAGAAAAAAATTGAATAATTAATTTTAACTCAAATTTTCCATCTTTGTTCCACAATTTTCTTTGAATTTACTAAATTTGTGCGCAATTCATAATATATTATAATAAATTTTAAACCAGAATCTCCATCGGAGACTGCACGCCACGAAGATACACCGTCGTATTTGATAGGAAATAATGGAAAATAATAGAAGATCGTCTAAACATACGTTGGAGTGAAATTACAACGTGGCTAAGAACTTAATAAGCACCTCGGCGATGCTGCCGTTTGTTTGACAATATTGTATACGACGACGAAGTAATCTTCATAAGTAACTGGAATCAAAGTGTAATAAGAGGCTGGAAATACTAAATGTCTACTTCCCAGTTGTAAGTAATTTCCTCTTGTCTCTTTCTTTATAAATAATAACCACATTATTTGTGTATGAGTGTTTGCGTTTCTATAAATAACTACAAGACTGTTGAAAGTATTCAGAAAGCCCCTAAATCAGAAACATTGCTATCGCATTAAAATTAATTGAAAGCAGTCGTCATAAATAATTACATTTACGAAGCGAATCTTTGCAAACGCTCCACTGCATCTTCGCAGTCATCAAAGAGAGTGCGTAAATTGATAGCTGGCAATCCGCGTGTCTTTGTTCGTTTTTTCTCTTGACGATGGACGAAGCGAGAGGCAAAATACACCGTTGTTACAATTGGAATCGCTAATAATGATGGCCGGCGGGGAGCCGGACGAAAAATTCTTCCTACTTCAATGACTTCACACTTCGGAGAGATCTCTTCACTCTCCTCTCCCACTTCTCTCGCCGCGCGATGTTTACAGCCTCGACGCGTCCTGCGAATGGGACGCCACGAATAAAACCACGGAATAAGCCAAGGCGGCCGTCGCTCGTAAGCTTCTCTCTTTACGAGGATGACTCGACTCGCAGCCGACCGCAGACGAGAGTCTCCCGCCCTTTTCTACGTCCGTTAAAACGAACTGAAATACGTTTCGTCTCGCAGGAAATGGTCGACATCTTTGGTACCAGCCGAGCATGGCCGATGGGAATAAATCGCGTAGAGTACTCGCGACCGTCCGATCGAAACAGTCTTTAAATCCTTGATAAAATATTGCTCGAGGGCCTTATATACTCTAGCTTTAGTAAAGCAATTTTGACGATAAATGAAAGATTGAGGCTATTTACATCAAAGATAAAAATTACAGATATTTTTCAAATAAAACGCGCAACAATCTAGAATAGTTACTCCGATGTTAGAATTCATTTATTTTAATGTTCATACATCTTATTGGAGATACACGTTTCGTACCATATACTGTATATATATATATTTCGTGGACGCGCTTTAGCTGCATTGAGATCCATAACGATTATTCTCATTATTCTCAGTCACTCTACTTTACATCATCTAGATGCATGTTGGGGGGGGAAACAGATGGGATACATAGGCACATTTTATTTTATATATATATATATCAATTATTAATCCTTCCATTTAAATCCATCTGATGTTCAACAACATTTACAACATTTATGGAATACACCATACGTAAAGAAACATCGGGGATAATATCTGATATATACATCAACGTTCGATTATAATCTCTACGTCAATTTGCAAAACGAGAGAAATAAATTAGATCAACAAATAACACCGACTACGCTTACGGAAATATATATATAATACAAAATACTATTATCCTAATTAAACTCACACCAACAGTGTGTTACGTTATATACAATAAAATATAATACTCATTGCAAGGAATATATGTAGATGATCCTTTTCAAACGTCAAAAATCCTTTGCTCTATCTCTTTTCTTCTACAAAAAGGATACTTGCTATTTATACTAGCAAAGGAAAACCGCGTAAAAAAATAATAGCATATTCCGATTCTCTAGAGATCATTTTGATAAGTGAACAGAGAAGTGCCGAGTATCACTCGTGTCGAGCGCATTCGTCGCGCGAGACACCTTTCATTCGTCGCTCGTGTTTCCAAGCTTTACGCTGGAAGCAAAAATCCGATACACCCGGCACTATGACCGGACCGCAAACTACAGTTAAGCGCAAAGAGCATAAAATGAGAATCGAGAGATGTGCATGCGGAATGGATCGTAAATAAAATCCTTGTCTCCGGCGTGTCGACGCCGTCGGCATAATACAGAAAAAAAATAAAGATCCCGCGGCGTGATAACGGAAACTTCGTGTTTCTTTTTTTTTAATTCAATTTACTTGATTACTGATTAGTATATCTTAATTTGATCGAGAATTTCGAATAAAATATATTAACAGATCCTGCATCTTCTTTCCATTTCTCCCTTCAATTCTATCTATCTATCACAGTAACTATAAAGAATTTGAAAAGTAAGCGTGTTAAATCATTCTTTCTTCGTCTCTTGAACAGTCTTACAACTAAGGCCGCGATCGCATATATCTAAATCTCGATCGCTATTAATTATTTGTCAATCCATAAAGCACGGCGATACGGTGAAAGAGGGTTGAGAGACGTTGTTTCAGGCTCTGGTCTACGGCATGCCTGGTCAATATTCGCACGCCGCGCACGAAAACCGGAAGCAACGGTGCCAATCGTTCATCCTGCGAAAAAAATCCCCCAAATTTATATAAAAATAGCTCAAACTTACAAATATATATATGTATATATATATATATATATATATATATATATATATGTGTGTGTGTATGTGTGTAAAAAGAAAGATGGGAAAACTCACTGGTAAAGCTAAAGCCCATTCCAATGCAGTGCTTAAAGTGTCTGCCCAAGCTTCCCTATGAGCCTCGCTGTCCTTATTGATGTTTCGCCTCTGAATCGGCACCTTCTGATTAACGATCGACTGGCTCTCGACTGCAGTCGTCTCTTCCTCGTCCCATAAAAAGGGATTTGTCCTAAAGCCGCGCTTGCTACGCTCGTAATCGCGCAATAATTCGTCCATATTGTCAAGAATCTGCGAAGATTTAGAATTCTTTTTGTCTTCCTTCTTAATACTTTCTTCTGGTTCGCGAGACTCGCTGGAAGAAATATCGGACGTCGTCCAGGTGGGTGCTCGGCGTAGTTCCATCACCGACTTCGGTCGGAGATCTACATCGGCCAGCGAAGACTTGTCCTCGTTTTCGAGATCTGCCGCCGTGACGAATGTCAAGGATTTCCGCCTGGGCAACGGACCTACGTCGCTGCCAGGTCTCTCCGAATACGATTTTTGATATAAAAAGCCTTCGTCGGAGAAGGAATTTCGATGAAGCGGTTTCATATCTGCCACGGAAGTTCTCATGGAAATTGACTCCGATCTTTTCCAGTGCGAATCCAAATTGTAAGAGAAATCGTCGCGACTGTACATCATCTTGGGAGGTGCCGGAGTCGTGGCGTTATACTTGGCATCGATGTAACCCTCGCTGGAAGTTCCACCGGAGCGGTCGAGATAAACGATCTTCTCCGTGACCGAGCCCAGCCTGGACACCGGTCTGGAGTCGTCGGTTTCCGGTTCGGACTGCGGACCGGAATCGGTCGAATATTCCGCGGCCAGATCCGACAGTCTGAAGGGCCTCGGATCGTTTTCGCTCTCAGCTCCGAGCTCCTCCAAGCCGCTCTCGTCATCCAAATTCGGATTGTACACGTCGTCTGGATCGTCCTGATCGTCCTCCTCGTAACCGTCCGGCTGATCTTGACGGACGCCGGGATCATCTTTTTCCGACGACTCGACGAGGGCTGAAGCACTGGCAACGAGTCGAGCGTCGATAGGCTCTTTTCTAGTGATCTCGGGAAAATCATCGGGCTGCGCCACCAGCAAAAATATCTTCCTCTCGGCGAAACTGTCGGCCTTGGTGTACCTGCCGTCCTCGTCAAGGACCACTTCGACGTAAGTCTCGCAGAGCTCGTCGAAAATCGTACGGAGTTGGCGGAGATATTTGTTGAGCTTTCGGTGCTTGATGTCGTAGACGCATTCTCGGTCGCCCAGCCCTGTGCCCAGAATCGTCTTCACCAGCTCTAGACTTGCATGAAGCTCCTCTATCTCACGTAAACACAGCTCGAACAGCGTGATGATCTTAATGGTCCAAGCAGCGGCCGCCTGGCGGTACAGATTAGCCGGTTGCTCGAGATTCGCCACCTTCTGCACCAGAAATTTCAGGCCGGGTCGGCAATCGAACTTCAGCGCGGCGACGTACGAGAAGTCCAGAGCGGAAAGGAAAATCTCCACGTGATGCGGACTCAGATGAGACAAGTAACCCCGTTTGGCGTTAGGATTAGGCGAGCTGCATGGCGTCGAGTGCGGGATCACGTGAGACAAACTATGGAAAAATATTCTTTCGAGCGCCGATCCATTACGCAATCGTAATCCTACATTTATCTTTATGACAAGTAAAGATAATATCCCAATTTCAATTAATCAAATTCGAAGTTATTAATGTAAATTAGACTATAATTTTAAAACATTCCACGTAAATAATAAGTATAATTGATATTATGTTGTACAAAATATATGCGTTAGTAACATTTATAACATTATTATGAATTTACGAATGCAAGGAGTAATCATGTACGAACCTTGAAATTGAAGGGCCGGCACCCTGAAGAAGGACACTCGCGATGCAATGAAGCAGCATCTGATGTACCAAAAGTCCGACTACCAGCGCACGCAATTGGACTCTAACGATGTAAAGATCGGGATTGAGAGTAGCGCCTACGGCAGGAGGGTACAAAAGGAACACGTACGACCTTTCGTCAGATGATCGCGAGGCATCTTCGACCCGTGTTTGTTCCTCCAGGAGGAACACCTGAAGACACAAGGACGCGTGAATTATAACGTCTAAACTTGTCTCTCAAAAGCAGAATTCTGAATGTATGGTATGGACGCAGGTTCTTCGAAGGATCTGATGAACTTTGTGAAAGCTACAACTTCGCTACAATGAAGCAATCGTCAAGTCTTCGTAGTGTTTTGATTGCAAGTAAGATTATGTTTATCATTACACATTTCTAAATAATGCATTGAAAAATTTTTGTTCACAAAATTTTTCAATCAGGAATTACCATGCAATATGAGCTGAATATCGTTTTTAGTGAGTGTTACCTGATCACGAGAACAATCTTAATTACAATAATAATAAAAGTAACGGTATGCACTTAGCTTAACACGACTCCGCAATTTTTTTCCGATCACAAGAGATAATGTGTGCAAACTACGAAAGCTGCAGCTTCTATAATACGGTGTCGTGTACCGTTACCTACACGTTACTGTGACAGTGAAATTCTAGCCATGGACCCAAGCCATGGATTTTAATAGTGATTCGCAACATCGTGCCAGTAAAATTGAAATGATGTTTCAACCAGCGACGAGGTCCTTTTTTTATAAATTCAATGAAAGAAGAAATTACAAGTTTATATTGATTCTCTTAAAACTTTATTTCAGGCATTCTTTTGCAATTTGTTAAAAAAGGAAAAAATTAATAATTATTCTCAAAGTTAATAAATGTCAACAAAACAAAAAATTTTTAAGTAAAAATTGATTAAAAAGAAACAATCACGGTTATACTATTAAAAATTTTTTTCTATTAAGAATCTACATGTAATTTATATTAGATGACATGTAATATAATAATAATTATTATATTATATTTCATTTCTTTAAAAGGATCTCGTTGAAGCGCTTCTGCAGCCTAACCCGTGCCTTCTACCAGCATGTGCAAATGTTTAAAAAAAAAACATGGTGATCCGAATGGCGTTTTCCTCGTCGACAGGCGTATTCCAAAATGAACGATCTTTCGTTCAAGGTAAAGGGGTGAGTGAACAGTCAATCAGCTGATAATAGAAGCCTTATATTTGTTTGAACACAGTCATTCAGCGGTACAAAAATACATAGGAAACATTTTGACTCTGTCACGTCGCCAGTATATCAGCCACATCGAACAAGCATGGAACACATCGAAAGCGATCGGTCGATTAATGCTTGCGTCATATACTCAGCGTACATATAAGGTACTCGTGTTCAATGTATACATATAGGTGAACATATATTGCTATGGTTATACGAAAATATTCTTTAGACTGAAAGTAGCTTCTGGAATTGCTCCCGATTTAGATAGGACGTGAGTGCTAAGACTCGGCCTGTCGACGACGACGTGATGGCACGCCTTCACGAATCTGTGAATCACTCGGCGTGGACGTTCGGACATGTATCCACGTTACTCGTTTTTCCGCCGGTCGATATGGTGTGAATCTCGATACGATTACAATAACGTTATTTTTTTCTCTCTCTCTCTCTCTCTCTCTTTCTCTCTGGGTTCGATCGTTCTTAAAATCCATGACGTGAGTTACCGTGGTCGGCTAGAGCCATTGGGGGCCTGTGTTCGTCGTAGTGTTAGTGTAATCGGGGGGTGTCGTGTGCTGCCTACAACCGACGGGGTAGGAAGTAGTGTGCTGGTCGATCAGTGTCGTCTCAATGGTCGTCAAATCCTGGAAAGGCGTCATCGGCAGTGACGCCGCGCTCTGCCTCTTGATGGCAGTCAATACCTCACGCAGCTGGCTCACCTGGGAGCAAGTCAGGTCAGGAGGGAACCACCTCTGTGTCCCTGTATCTTTATCTTTCTTTCATTATCTTTCTCTCCCTCTCTTTCTCTCCCTCTCATCTTTTCTCATACAAACTCGGACACTCTTGCACTCGTCACTTTATCGCAATGAATAACGCGCTACTGGAAAAGTGATAAGATGTTTACGAAGAACATTCATCTATTATTAAATAGATGACAGCAGTCAATAATAAAAGCTTTCGTAATTATAAATTTTAAACGATTAACGATTTTTGCACTTAACACCAATTGTCACATTCAATTTTGACCTTTGTCCGTTTTATATAATGTTATTTTAACTGAGAATTATGCACGAGATATATGCCAAGAATAATTTTAATATCGTGATATGTGAGTGATAAATGTAGAAATGAACTTTGTCCTCGAGTTAGGACAGAATCTATATATTTCAAATATATTCCGTCTCGTGGTCACGAGGAGCACATCGACAAAGCACACTGAACGTACAACAATTAGAAACAATCAGGTCGACACTCTCCCTTCTCCCCCTCCCCCCCTCCTCCCCGCGTATACCTGTCACCTCTCGAAAATAAATCTCGGATTACTTACCTGAGCGGCGAGTTGCCGCAACCGTTCCGTTTCTTCCGGTGTCGCGTCTCGGCGCGCCGCGACCTTCACTTGGGCGACATCCCCGTAGAAAGATTCCGATCTGGGTGAGAAAGCCATGGTCAGCTGGTGCAACTCCTGCAATGAATTCGAACAGGCGCGGTAGCACGCGACGCCGCAGACCTCCCATTGTTCCGGGGTGAGGAGCGGTCCGCTGCTCACCAGGACGTGCCTGTCAAACATGAATTTTAATCTCTTTGCGATTCGCCCCGCTTAGTATTACTTATAATTTCCAAATAAAAATCAATAGCAATGATGATGCAAGATAGAAAGAAATTTATTTAGATCTTTTCTACGCATTTCTTTTTTACCTTCTATTCAATGATTAAAAAAAAAACCCTCAATCAAAAGAGCATTTTAACATCGTCTACTATCTATACATTGCTGTCACGTTGTTCCGTAATAAATCTCACAAGGACACGGGTAACGATCGGTGAACGGTAATCAGATTTCTCGTGCTACCGTGTCAACGACGATAAGGTTGGCCAACGCCTTCTGGCGCGGTCTTTCGCGAGCAATCGCTCTTTCACAGCCATGGTATAAGCTCGGGCCGAGAATCATCCGATCCGCTGGTTCACGTCGTGGAAGTGGGTTGTCTACTACACTGGGTGACGCTAAGATTTCAGATCGGGATACCGTACGCGCGCTCCGTCATCGTCGCGAACCTGCTCTCCGTTTTTTAAATTCCGGCGTACATACAACACGTGTACATCGATACCTCGCGATCGGCACCGATTCGCGAGGGGATCGTGTTACGTGACTCGGTCCGGTTGGACCGTTGTATATCTATCTGCCTGTCCGCGTGCACAATTAATACAGAGAAAACGCGCCCGATGGCTCTCCAGGTGGATGCAGCGTGTGCAGTCGTTAGCATGACGTTCCGAGGGTGTCGAGTGTCGGTGCAGGCTACTTTATCCCACCGAACAGCTTGTCAAGCTTCGTTATCGTCTTACACGCACGCTCCGCGCGTCGCCGCGCCGCCGTAACAGCGATATACCTATATTAATTTAACATCCGCGCGCCACGAGCGATACATTCCATCAGATTTAGCCGATGCAGCAGCCGATTCATCTCAAAAAGTTAGAAATCGTCACGATAAACTCGTTAACACAATATAGTTGCATTAACAGATTACAGAGTTATATAAGACACGGTATTGCGCGTCATTTTGCATCATTTTACGATCCAGCTTTCCTAATTGAATTACGAAACAACCGGCGACAACATGTCGTTTCAATCAGCCGTTAAAGAACCATCACGTTTGGTACCACGTTGCCATTACATTTTGTTTTTTTCTTCTTTTCTTTTTTTTTTTACATTTAGCAATTCCGTCGTTAATGCCATCGAACATCGATTTTCTTATGCGCAGACAACCATCGCGCGTCAAACCGCGTAAATATTAATAACGAAGCTCGCGCGCGAATCGCAATAAAGAGGAAACGAGCGGGCGAGCAAATTACTTCGGCTCGTTTCGGCCGGCTTTTATGTCGCGTGCTGGAAATGTCCCCCCGGTGCGCTTTCGACTCACCTGATGCAAGCGCAACCGAGACGAGCTATGCTCTCCGTGGGCTGCACCACGCATTCCGCCATCACTAACAAAAGCTGTTTCAACATCAGCGTCGTGGCGGGTAAATAGGCATCGTTTCTGACGATCTCTGGACCTGAAAGAGCAGATTGCACAAACGAACGGATTAGCAATCTCTCCGGCATACTTTCCTCCTAACGTCGCTTTCTGAATCAATGTGTATTAACCTTGTAAGTGCGTCAAATAATCGACCACGAGATCCGTCGTGAGACCGCAGCACTGTTTGAAATTGGGCGCGAAGTTGTCCCATCCGCGGAAGATCTTGGACGTTTTTCTCAGCCAGTTTTGCACCATGGGCAGTAGCAGGTGATTAACACAGTAGAGACCGAACGCCGGCCCGGGCACGTTCAGAATGTCGCGCAGCAGGTGGAACAGGGTCTCCAGGGTGTGCGGTTGATAGCGCTTCGGGCAGATCATAGTCGCGCTCGCCAGGCCCTCGATGAGGATGTACCAGACCCTGAGGATGCCGCTGGACTTGTCCATGCTCTGCAACGTGGCGATGGGATGGGCGTCCTTGTCGATCAGCGGCGTCAGCGCGTCGTACGATTTCTCCGGGGCGACCAGCTCCTGCATCGACTCGATGTGCTTGTCGAACCTGGTCAGCTCGAGATTCGGAATGATCGGATCCACGTACTGCGGGATCGTGGAGACTTGAATCCTCTGGGCGGAATGGAAGATCGGGCAGGCCGGCATTCGATACATCGACGACAGAATGTCGCTGCAGCTCAGCAGATACTTTAAACTCTCCACGCAGAGTCGCATCCTCCTCGATTCCGCGCTGTCGACGTTCTCGGTCTCCTCGGATTGCGCCTCGTTGTCGCCGATACCTCTCACGTGTTTCAGCAGGCACAGGATACAGTCGAGCGCGGCGTTGGCGAAGACCAGCGTGTTGTCCGTTGAGAGGAAGACTCTGAAAACTTCTAGCAAAGGCGCCGATTCCACCGAATCCGCATTGTTGACCGACGCCACTCGGAGAGCGCCGAAAAGCGGCCGCCAACCTGAACGTATCTCGGTCCGATTCGTTTCAACGAACTCACAGATGCAGCTGACAATCTGAACAAGTAACAGTTCAAATCGAAACAATCTGAATTTATTAAATTTTATGTAAATAGTAAGCGGCTACTTACTTGATCCTGCACGTCGCTGTCGCAGAGCTCGAGACATAAAAGGTTTTCAAAAGGTTTGAAGAGCGCCTCGTTAAAGTGGAAGTGCGGAAGCTCTATTTGTTCATTTAACAAGGCCGCCATGGAATCGTGGATGCATTGAACGGCCTTCTTCGAAATGCTACGATCCTCGTGGCAAGCCGCCTCCATGAAGTGTGGTCCCAAAATAGTCCATACCTGAAAAATTATTCATACATCGTACAAATTATAATTAATAAATTATTAATGTTAATTATAATTGTAATTAATAATTTATTATTATCAATTATAATTATAATTAGTAATTCATCACACTGCACACATTAGATACTGTTTTCTTACCCCCATTATGTGTATCAAAGGTCTGCCGCTCTTTACACACTTCAGCATAACTTCGCCTAAGCGAGCCAGAAGCAACACATTCATCTCGTTCTCCCTCGGCTTACTTCGTCTCCACCAAAATCTCTTATTGTCTTTACAGCCATCGGTGGTCTTGAACAATTGCGCCTTGCTGGCCTTGCAGAGAGCCATGAGAAACGAGCAGAGCGCTCTAAGATTCAATTTAAGTGCCGCATCCTCGAAAAGCCTATCGACTTGCTGCGACAGCACGCAAATAATCTTGGCGGCATAGTCCGCTGGTAAAATGCCATTGAATTGGCTGTCGGCGTTTGATTCTTGGATAATCTCCGGAATCGTGTCCGAACTGGGATTCTGCGTGTAAGGACTTGAAAGGAAACTGTAAACGTCCACACTGTAAAAAAAAATATGTAAGTAAAAAATTAAACATAAATTACATGCAAGGTATTAGAATTCTGGTATTTTGTAAAATATTTATATTAAATCGATATACTAATTCATTAAAAGAATGAGAGATTTTTTTTGAAAATGAAAATATCAAATAATTCAAATGAAATATGAGAATAAACTGTACCAAGATTCCTCGTCATCGACAATGTTGAAATTTAGTCGAAGCCTGTCTTGACCGTTCTTAGCGTCGCCGTTCGCAGCATCTTTCTTTTCCTTCTTCTGAGAGACTTTAGGCAGTGACGGATTTTGATTTCTTCCAAAGAAGTCATGTTCCAGCTTACTCACGTATAGACAACACCTTTTTTCAAATGCATGTGATCTCTTTAATATATGCATATTATAAGAAAAAAAACACATGGCGCGAATTTGAGTATTTTACTTACGTAAAAACGTGCGGCCAGCAATCGCTACCGTGACTGCCTAGTTCCAGACCTCTTCCCAGGAGCACATCCATACTGAGCGCGTGAGACGTATGAAGATTAGTCGCTTTGTTCTGCAATTTAAGTCGGAGGACATCCTTCTTGCGTGTAATCTTCGAAATGGATTGTTCCGTACAAGCGGCCTTTGCGAGGAGGGCAAAAATGGAGCCGCAGCGATTCTGTAAACCTGAAATAGAAGAGGATACGACAAGATAAGAAGACGAATATCAAAATCTATTAAAAATCTGATTTAAAAAAAAAAAGAAAATATGTACGTACCAAGTACGTTGCTCAACGTGGCAGCTTTGTGAAGACCTTCAAGCGCCAAGACGACCGTGTCTCTGACTCCTCTTCTGCCACCGTCCCTATTCAGGATGCCTTTATTGGTTTCCTCCTTAGGCGGATTCAGCCCCGTCGTGAGAACCGTCATCATACTGCCCCAGCAACAAGTCAGCACTCTTCGGGAGAGTCTCGCGCCAGCCTCCGCTTCCGGAGTTGGTTCGCTTCGAGAAAGTTGGGCTTTTTCCAATCTTATGTAATCGGAAAGTAATTGTCCGCCCCTGTGACTGCCGGGTATACCATCCACGTCTGTAAATTGCATGAAAGAATTTTATTAGCTAAATTTATCAAAAAGTCGTGATTTAAATCTATTACGAAAGACATAACTTTGTTAATACATTTATTTTACTGAGAGAGAAATTAATTAATTTAATACTGCATACCCGTAAGAACATTAACCAACGCGTTATTCTCCGTGGAGCTAGGATTGTAACCACACTTTTCGAGTAAATTGCACGCGAGAACTTGCTGATACAATTCGGAGAGCCATGTGGCCGAGAGATAAACTAGCACACCCGATCCATGCACCTCTTCCACAAATCGCTCCTTAAAAATGAAATTAAGGAAAATAAAACAAAACGAATTTGAAGAGCATTAATAATATGTATTTGCGATCAGACGTACCTCGCTGATTGGCACTTGCCGACCCTCCTCGTGATAATAATTTATTTGGATTAATTTTAAATTGAGAAGCAACGCCGCGTACGTCGCCAGGTAAATTCCGTCGGCGTTCATAATCGTAATTAACGCACATGAATCCGTACTGGTTTCGGATTGTTCCTGTATCTTCTGTTGAGCTACAAACACCCCTAAAATATATAAAAAGGATAAATTTTTTTTATCAATACAAAATGTCATTATTGTCTCAATATTAATGTAAATTTTGCGTTTTGTTTTATAAGTTTCATCGATCGACGATTATGTGTACCTTGACAATATTCAGAAGCAAAGTTCTGCAATGCCTCATCCACCTCTATGTTACTCCGCAAAGTGAGGACCATCGGTATGAGATCGGATCTAAGCGTTCTTACAAATCGCCTGGCATTATGTCTCTCTACGTCCACGTTGCACTCGTCGGCGACTTGTCGACCGACGTGAAGACACTTGGGTAATTTTTTCAATCTCAATCTCTCGTATTCATTCTCCGTTGTGCATTCGTTATCGTCAAGACTATTTTCCTCCTGAACGTCATCCGATTCGTTTTGCGGACCCTCAGTGTCCGTTGAATCGCCGTCTTCTGACGGTCCATGCCCGGATGAGTCGGAATCCGAACCCATACCTTTCTTCATTAATTCCAATTGTTCCCTAAGAAAAAAATTATCATAATGTATACATATACATATATATATATATATATATATATATATATATAAAAGGGAAAGAGATTTTTTTTAATAATTTGACAAAATTATTCTATTAACCGTGCAGGGCACACATGGATCGTTCGTGTTCATGCCGTTTTTAGATCTTATTTTACTCTAATGCTAAAAAATAATTTTTATAATTTTTCCAAACTTTTTTCCCAATGTTTACATAGCAAAATAATTTAATAGAGATCTCAAAGAACATGTGCGAATTTTAACAAAATTTCTCGAGCACTTTAAGAGTCTCAAAATCGAGACACAAATGACTCATGTGTGTCACTCCCATGAAGTACTAAAAATATGTGTGCTACGACAGAGTTAAATAATTCATTATCGTGACTCACCTATATGTTTTTGGTAATCGTGCCATGCTTTGGTAAGTCAGAGGTCCGCGATAATCACAGGATTCTAAATCCTCATACAAACTATTAATCGTGCACGTGTAATTGTGATTAATGGCCTTGCCCTCGCAAAGTTCTTGAAGCGCTGACAGCATGGCGACAACGCAAGAGACACTCGCGTGCAATATAGCCAGTCCACCCGTTGTTGATTCCTCTATCGAGTCCATGGCCCTAAAACACAATGTACACAAAAATTTAAAAGATTCTGAATTCTTTTAAAATAATGTAAAAAATTTTATTTAAGTTTTATTTATTATTACATCAAAGATTGTGTTGCGAGAAATACTCACAGTCTCATCAGTGCCATGTCACTTTGTATATGACTCGATCGATCTTCCTCTACAAGTAATGGTCCAGCAAAATCAACCATGCGACTAGGACTACGCAGTAACTCCTTCAATGCTTTCAAGGGCTCTAGACGCTGTTGTGGCGGTGGATATAGCAACATTCTGTGGAACACCGATTCCAAAACTGGTCGCAACGGACCGACGCATCCCACTAATCTTACTAATTCCGTGCCAATGCTGGAAAAGATATATTTCCGTTTCTTTATACAATATTATCTAATTCATGAAATATAAAATGTTTTACATAAAAGAAAAAATTTTTGTAAAGTAATATTTACGATATTAACTCGATCATGATGTATCTTAAATTTCCTATTCTTTTACCTATAAACAGTTTTAGCCTGATGACTGTCGAAACTCAATGACGTGGCCAAGTATCCGGAACCTCTGCCAACCTCGTTCTCCTTTCCCTCACGGGAGGTAAAGGTCTTATCTACCCGGGGAGTGCCCAGGAAGGCTATCAAGGCCGGACAGAACTTCTGCCACAGGAAAGTCGTGAAGTGTGCGTTAGTATGAATCTTTTGCGGTAGCGACGATATGAGCGTGTGCAGGCATTCCAGTAGGAAGACTATAGTGCTGCCGTTTCTGCCGTTGCTGGAACAGGATTTCCTAAATATTATTATAGTATCAAACATAAATGGCTCTTCGCGTCACACTAATTTTCTAAGATGCATCCTTACTTCTGAGCCTCGTCCAGCTTGCTGCAGATGTACTGCAAGATCGGCAGGGCCTCGTTGAAACACGAAACGCCTCGCTCGCGCACATTTTTATTCCGCTTGGCATTCTCGTCCATCTCCTGGCACTCCTCATCTGCAAATAAATACAATAGCGCATAATAAATGTTGGAATGCCTGCACACGCCGGCGATGCATTCGCAAGTATAAACGGTGCGGCACAATCATTCGTTCGGGACGCCTCGCCGATGGCATTCTTCGACCCGCATGCCACCGGCACGCGATCTTGTAATTTATCGACCAAACATCTGTGTTTGGAAGTGCCATGTCTGGAGGCTATTATCACTGGTCTAAGGCGAGATGCATCGTCGGCGACGCTAGTTTTTTATTTTTTTTTCTCGCTAGAGTTTCCGTGTTACCTAAAAAGAGACAAAACGATCGCAACGTTTGACTGGTTGCAGCCTGTGCAGCTGTACGCACAGCTTGATTGCCATTCTCGAACGCCTCGCAACAAGTGGTCAGTATAGCGATGATCAAACGGCCGTTCATAGTCCAGTAAGGAGAGCAAGCGACTTGTAGTAGGACCTAGAAAAAAAAACGGTGAGACATTGTCCGTGATTAAATTTTAAAACAAGCACTAAAAGCAAGAGATATTACATTTCTTTGTAAAATCTGATTAATTTTTAAATTTTTTATTTGCTTTCAATACTCGATTTAAAATATATTTATATTTTCATGATTACTATAAAGCTCTCACTTTAAGCATGTCCGTCTGCGTGTCGTCGGACTGCGAGACGATGGAGCTCATGGCGTGCAACATTTGTGCAGGCAACCATAACGAATCATCTTCTGGCTCGTACGGTGATTGGAATCTGTCGTCTCTTAACATTTTCTACAAATTTTATTCATTTAATGCGACATTAATATTTGACCATCATATTTATAACGTTATTATATTTATAACTTAATAATTATTTAATTATAAAAATACAATTTTTTATCATTCTGTTACATAATATTTATATTATAAATCAAAATTCCGCCTGAATAAAATTCCCACTTAATTAATTGCAATAATTAATCTATATATATAGTATTTAATCTTTATTATATAATTCTTAAAAAACTCCGATCAAAGCTAATTAAAAATCATCTGTCACAACGACGTGACTTCACTTATACCGTCGCAGCTGTTCGTCGGTATCTATCGTTTTATCGCGTACAGTTCCGGAACAAACGTTTCCACAAGCGGTTAATGCTGGTCAACACGTACACGGGAAGTGAAATAGTCTAAAGATAAAACTTCAGTCGCACAAAAATCTGTCTTCGCGATAGATATTTTAAACTCACATTCGCGTTTTTCATTCGGGCACAGAAAATTTATTTTTTCGCGTAAAAAAATATTTTTTTCCGATATCTTAGAATAATCTTTTAAAAGATAATTTCTATTATGTTACTTACGTGCAATCCCGCAAGTCCGAAGGCAACGAACTTGCTCCTGTTACTTTCCAGTGCTAGCTGAAACGTATGTAAGCATTTCGCGCGCAATTCGTGCGGCGGATCTCGTAGCAGGCCCTGCTGCTTCTCCAGAAAATCTGCGGGAAAAAGATAGTTTTCAACAAGGAAAACAAATCTGAATATATTTAAGAAAAATATATGTTTTCGATGACTAACACAATCACAGCATATTGCACCATCGTGACGCACATTCGAATTGACGTAAGTTTGAAAAATAATTTTACGTAATGGACATTTACGATTTTTGGACTTTGCGTAAAGTTATTCAAATGTAATCGAATTAAATAAGAAATATTTATAATATATATGCGATTATATCCGTCGCGAGGGATGCAAGTGTCAAGTCTGTTTGACGTATGTCACCCGGAATGAAGAAGCCACGAATAAGAACGATGCCTCGTGCAAAAATTTAATGCAAAATTGAATCGAAATGAAAAGCGTAGCTCGCTTACCGTGCGCTTCCTGCGCCGATTTCCGTAAATTTTGTAGTCTCGCATTGTTCGACTCCCTTATGATCTGCAGCAGGAGATCCTCCATGACACGACGGGCCACAACCGCTACCACGCGACTGATCGATAATAGGAGGGAGTGCCGATGCACGCCATGCTTCGCTATACATGCGCACTTCCAGGAACGTAAAAAATATCACCCTTGAAAATGCTGACGTATTAAGAATAGTCGAACCGAAAGAAATTTTAAATATAAATCCAATTGCGCGTTCACATAAAAGTGGAGCAGGAAGTCAAAATATGGAGTAACAATTGTACTTTTAATCTTTGTTAATCTCTCGAAGCAGATTTAATTTATGAAATCAAGCGTTTATAAATAAAAAGAAATTGTAATCATTAAAATAATATTAACGTAAATTGTGTAGGAAAGTTTTTTTGACAAAATTCCCACGTTTTTAGTAAAAACAATAGTAGGGGCTTTAAAGAGTTTAAAATTTAGCGCCTTTGTGAACATGATACTGGTCACGTGACTTACAATGTTCGAAGATGGCAACGAGGAGTGACAGGAAACGTAGAGTGACCGAGAAACCGGGAGCACACGAGAGCACCGCTTTTTATCACTGGACCATATATCTTTTAGGTAATAACATTCGCTGTCTCGCACAAAGGAGTCGAGCGTCCGGCGCGATCTGCGATCGAGGGGTTGTTTTAAAAGTGAAATAATCTTTTGCTCCGGCAGGTCTTGGATTTGGTTGTTTCCATCGGTGGCATGTATCGACGCTGTTCGAAAATGACCGACACTTCTCTCATCTTTCGGAAATGGAACGAGAAATGTCCTTCAGGACTGAGATGGTACGATAATCGCTGATGATATATCTTATTATATGTCATACACGGCATGTGAGTAAATCGATCGTGTCAGAAATTCATATCGACCAAACCGGAGCATCTTTGTCTATCTTCAAATCGAACGTTTTGCCAAATGTCCAATGCCGTACCAAGACTCTATACGTAGGCAGCATCGAAGATTTCCACAAACGCATAAATGAAACATCAAATTACTGCGAATTTATTGTTCTTTGAATTGCCGATAAATTTTATATTCTTATCCTTTCGATAAATAATCATCGTAACATTGGGAGCCACCGTTCTAGAGGCATCTCACAATTATTTATTCAAAAATCTCAACTCAATCTTAACTGCCACTTCTACTGTATTGAATGACAATCCACATGTTTACCCTGCCTTTGGGTAGAAGAAATAGTGCTATATAATAGGTCGGGACTGTAGAGTAGACGGTTCGTTAATTTCACATACCTGAAGTGGCTAAAAATTCCTGGTTCAAAATCATGATATAGAAGGATGACAGTGGAGCCCATCGCAGAAAAATACTCATGTTTTTTGAATACTACTGGCAAACAAACGGTGTATTGTTTCGTATTGATTTACATCAACTTCAATGGAATAGTTATACCTAACGAAAAAAAATGGGGCTACTATTTTCTTCAGCATGTTTGTTTGACATTTCTCGATTTCTATTTAAAAGTTTCACCCTAAAAGCATTTTTATGCATTGATTATCTATTAATAATAATTTAAAATTGTCGGAATACCAATTTATCAGTATTGTGTTAGAGTGAATAATAAGTTAAAAGTTTGAGGAAATGTTTGATGTGTAGCGTTCAACTCCAAGTTGCCTTCTCTTTCGAAGTATCTTTATTTAAAACACAAAAAGAGTAAAGTTTTTATTATATATACAACAAACATATTTAGCAGAGTTAATATTTCTAAATGCATATCTCTTTATATGTATAAATAATATTTAATTACTTTTAGTAACTGCTAGATTTATCATACACTTGCTTTCTCACACATAATTAGATGCAAATTGCTTTGCAATTAAAAAACTTTTGCATTATATATAAAGTAATATCAATCCAGAAGTATTATCTCACGCCAAATATATGTATAGCAATGCAAAATAATTCTTAATTCTTAAATTGTAACGTATTAGTAAATATAAATATAAAGATAAGCTAGAATACATTGAACACACAAGTAATTATGTTAAATAAACTACTTGTTAAAATTTCTAAATGTCTACAGCTTTTTTCTTTTTTTCCAGGGGATGTATTACTCTTATTATAAGACTATCGCTGAGTCCGAAAATTTTTTCGACGGGATGGACAAGCTCAGACATGATAATCTCTCAGAGTACAGTAATGTCATTGATGCCAGTAGAAAATACAATCTTTTACCCGAGGTAATTATTCTCAATAAAGCTTCTTGTCAATTATCCGAGTTTGAATACGATAGATGATTTTATTGACATTATTATTCATTCTGCAGATTCTAGCAGGTTTACTTTATCATATTGCGAGGAATCTCGGCATCATATCTCAAGAACAATGCTGGCAGGTGAGACTTGTAGAATTTCTCTGCGATACACGTCAATTTTTGCGAAGTGCTCACAAGCCGATCACTTTCAGATAGAGAGAGGAGATGGTTTGCCACCAATAACCAGCTGCGAAGGCCTGGGTGTACCTGTGTACTTCTACTTAGAAATAGTTTGGTCCACCACAGTCGTCACAGTGGCAGTGCTCTTTTACTACGCGACGTACTTGAGCAATTCCATCTACGGTGGATTCATAACGGTTATGTTCTTCTTTTACAATCACAGCGAGTGCACCCGCGTCCAATGGACGCCGCCGCTGCGAGAAAGCTTTGCGTATCCTATGTTACTCTTTCAAATGTACAGAGTCACTATGGCCATCAGAAAATATACGAGACACGACGCGGACGAGGAGCCAGCTTCGTTACGGAACAAAACCAGGCTAGGGCTACTCATGGTGAGACGTTAAAACAAGAAATTGCTTACTATAGGTGCATATATAGCATACATAATCGTTAACGCAGTAATTTGCTTTTTTTTTTTTTCCAGAATATATTCGGCTCGACAATTTGCAGCCTGTGCACCTGGCAATTTTCGCATTTCGTTTTCACCACGCAAATCGTAGCCATTCTCATTCTGAAGTGGCTGAGGATCGTCCCGTACGAGTTCTACAAAAACTTTTGTATGGCACATGCCTTGGCGATCGCGGCGGCGACTAAAATAACAAACGGGACCCTCATAATTTGTTCGCTCTACACGTGCATCATAATCGGCAGTAACGTCGCCAGTCTCGTAATGAAACTGTCACGGTTTCGAAGCATCAAACTCGGAATTATTCTTGAAATCGCCACAACGATAATCCTCACGAAGTGGATAAAGTCGTACGTTCTGTATTCCCAAGACGACGCCCACGTGTTTAACATATTGAAGTCCAAATTGACGAACTACAGGGATTTTCACACTATGCTCTACACGTGCTCCGCAGAATTCGACTTTCTACAGTACAAAACTTACTTGGCGATTATCGAGACCCTGTTACTGCCAACGGCGATATTCGCTGGAATGCTCGCACTGTACTACTGGTACAGAAATTACAAGACGAACAATTATCCGGTTTGCGTAGAGGCCGATATGGCGTATAACGGCCTACAGACCGGTGCCTTCATCATCATGGCCGTTTTTATTATGAGATTAAAGCTATTTATGACGCCGCATCTGTGCATAATAGCTGGCGCCGTGTGCAGTAAGCGATACCTCGAGAAAATCGGCTTGAAACATGAGGTCATGCGATTTTGTATGGTATTTGGTTTTTTACTGTGCGGCATGTCGATCCAAGGCATCGACAGATTTGAAGCGGAACGCGAATTTATAGGTGCACGAAAAAAATTTCTATGAATGCCACAATATTCTCTGTTTGGAAAAGAAATTAATGTGAATTTAATATACAGTAATGTTTTTTTTCGTGTGATTATATTGTCAAATTAAAAGCAATCGTGGCGCAGGGAGCTGCATGGCAACTTACTGTGTTGAGGATCCAGATTCAAAATCATCCAGAACTACGGTGCTCCGAAATGCGCTGCCAGTGCTCTACGGCATTTGACGGTGTAAATCGAAGCACAGTTTCTGGAAGGCAATCGCCAAATGGAAGTGGCGAAATTAGAGATTGTTACAGTTGTGGAGAAGTTGAGAATATAAGAAAACTCTAAAGGGATCATAAACTTTTTTTTATATTGTCAAATTAATTTAAATCGATCGACTCTTTCTAACAGTATTTTCAATTGCGCGTATTTTTACACACACGGAAAAAAATTACTGTTGCCACAACATAATAATTGTGATAATTTTCGTTCAAATTTAAAAGGGTTATAGGAATAAAATACTTCGGAAGTGACTTATATAGTTAATTGAACTCTCAGCTTCAATGTTGTGACGTGCAACTATATCATATATATCTCTCAATCATACTATTTGTTGTACAGATCATATTAGAGAGATAACAATAATTCGATTGAGACAACCACATATATGAAGATATTCTAACCGAATGTTATTTATCCTAAGCATTATACGGTTGTGACAACCGTACTGATGAGCATACCTTAACAGATGTATGCCATGTAACATCAGTGTGTCTTAAATTCATAATCACTTTCTTTCCCAACGTAGAGAATATTATTGTAATTACATCTACAGCAATTTTTTCCGTGCAGGTGAATACTGTAACACTGAACAAGAGGAGTTATTTGAATGGATAAAAAGTAATACACCGAAGCACGCTGTATTTGCGGGAAAGATGTCGTTGATGGCGAACTTGATGCTGTCCACTAAAAGACCGATCGTTAACAATCCTTACTATGAAAACAAGGAGATGAGGTATGATCTAAAATAAGAGTTAATACATTACTTCTGTGACAAAATACTGTTGGATTAATGAAAAAAAAAACTATTGGAACGAACAGTGTTCAATATTGGATTCGAGTGATTTTTCAATTATTTCCAATTGCTTTTTCGCGATTCCAAGAGTATTTTTCCACAAGAATGCTATGATACCACTTGGAATTATATCAATTTATATTTATTGATAAATATTTGATGATATTGTAGAGACAGGACCATGAAGGTTTATGAGATTTTTAGTCGGAAAGACGTCGCCTCTGTGTACAACTCTTTAAGAAGCATGAAAGTAAGTTACGTCGTATTGGAGGAACCGCTGTGTCTTGGATATGCAAACGTGTAAGTATGAAATAAGCGTAAGTATACGACGGTAATTGCGTAACATCGGATTTTATTTCTTCAGGCCGCGAGGATGTCAAATGATCGATTTATGGGACATGACTGATAATGGAGCGGCGAAAGCGGCGAACAAGCCGCCTCTGTGTCCTCTTTTGTTCAAAGGAAACGCGTATCCATTCAGAAGAGCGTTCGTTAACAATAACTACGTCGTGCTGCAATTGGATTATTCTCATTACGTAGAATTCAAACCAAAGACTTCTAAGCCATTGCATTATCAGTTTTAAGAGTTCTCTACGTTTTCAAAAAGAGAAAAAGAAATAAGTGAAACTCTCCTGAAGAATATGGAAGGAATACCTCTCGTGAGATTATAAAGCCTATTTTTCTTAAGACAGAAGTATTATCTTTATGAAGAAATATATACATATATATTTTTATAATATGAAGGTTCGCGCGGTAAGTTAAATATTAACACTGCGAACTTGTAAAAGTTTATCAAGTTTATAAGCCTTATATGCAATTTGTGAAGAGAGAGGGGCATTAAAATATTTTAAAAGACACGCGTTCTCCCGATATTATAAAATCGGGTTTATCTTCTGTTTGGTTTAAAAAGAATTCAACTCTGTTTCTGCATAGAGATTCTTTAAAACATAATTTATTGCAATATATATTGCAGCTATTTACAAAATGTAATATGCAGTATTTATAACGTTATATTTATTAAATTTATTAATTTCACGGTAACGAATGTAGTTACAAAACGTTAAAGTCGACTAACAGAAACGAACAAAAACTTAAGAGAATGCCTCATTTTACAATGTGATGTACACATACTTGTGATAATTTCCTCGTATTTAATGTTTATCGCGCGGTTATCGATAATGTTCGATTTTTTTTACGACGCGAATAGTTTCGAATGTATAAGCGCTACATTTATTTAGTCGCATATTGTGTTCATTCATCCGCTGTATGACAAACATGAGACATCTGTGCCAACATCAACACACTATTTATATTTGTGTAACTATTACAAATCGCATCTTTCGAGTTCAAATTTCTCATCGATTAACGAGCATTTCGTAATACTCATATTGGACAATAATTCTCGACACCTTAATAATAATATATCGATGTGCTTACTGAGATCGCACATTACTCGATCATAATACGACCATAAATGTTATTGTAATTGTAATGATGAGATTATACAAATAAACAAAAAGCAACATGCGAAAGGAAAGAATTGTTCAAGAAGACAAGAATGCATCTTTTTTTTCTATTTAAGAACACGAAGGAGTCGGAAACCTCCCGGATCGCTGGATCGTATTTTAAAATTTCACTAAATTCCAAAAAATATACTGCTAAAAAAATTTGCATATCTTTCGCAAGCAAAATGATCTTTCGCGTATGATCTGAAAAAGAATCTCTCGAACGCGCGTGATGCCCGGAAGAAAAATCGAACCGCACGAACGGCGAAGATAGCTCCGTTATAACGCACATAGCATAGCACCTTCACTTCGTATAGTTATAACAGATAGTATAGTCGAGAGGCAGTCTTTGGTATACTACGTTGTGCTGCTGACCCAAATGAATCCCTGGCCGCGCCAGTCAGTCCCGCTCCGGGCTTCTTCGCGGCAATATTGGTCGCTCGGTCGCGCGTTCTCGGCCGCGCTCGAGCCCGTTGCGTTAATTGTCGATTATTTTTTTTTTTTTAATACACATCGATCGAAACGCACGAGTGTCAAAATTCTTTTGCAAACGTCGTGACATCTTTTCGTTTATTTTTTTTTTTTGTACCGCGACCATATCGTATGTCACTACAAAGTGATTATTTCTAAAAACAAAAGAGTAAAAACAGTGTTAATTGTTAATAATATAAGTTTGTTTAATCGACAAGTCAAGTTCAATTGATAAGTTTTGAACGTTAGTTTTTCAAGTTTAATCCTTCACGCACTGGATACCGATGCTACAATTCGGTCACAGTGCGGTTCCGCCGACCAAACGGTGCTCGGTCCAGAAATCGACGAAAACAAATTTCTCGTGACTGGTGTATCGTGTGCGTGTTAAAACGGTGCCCCTATTCACCGGTAAGTGACGGCACCACTCACGGGGTTTACGACTACAGCTGCCGCTCGTCAGAGTTAAAGGCACGGGAAAGACGCGAGTTGATCTGAAAATATAAACATCGTGGATATAGTGGATCGAGAGGAAGGAGTGGCACATTTCGTGCGCAATGTAAGAGGGCTGATGCCAAGAGCAAGGAGATCGCAGGACATCACCGGGGAGGACTTGACGTCTGTCCGGAGTACCGCGCGCGTCCCGTACAGGCTTGTCCTAGCGATGCTACATTCCACGCTGGTCCCGCGTAATCATTGACAACTGGCAGTAAGTACAAATTGAAAACAAATAGCGAAATAATAGTAGAGAAAGTATGAAATTGTGGTCTATCATTATGACCCACTAAAATTGCCTTATAATTCTATGCATTTTCATTCCAGTTACGCAAATGCAAATTATGTAGATTACACTGTTAATCCCACACATTCCAATATTTATATATATTTTTTCATTAAATTACTTTAGCGCGCTCAAAGTGAGAATTAAAACAGATCGCTCGGATATAGTTTAATTTGTCTCTCGATTTATTTCTAATTTCCGGCTCTTTCGACTCGGGCCTGGCGGAACGTCAAGGACGTGTCTTCCTCGCGTCCTTGCGTCGGCTTATATGGACGGTGCATTAATTCGCTCAATGAGCGTAACAATGTAAATGCAGTCCTCAATCAGATAGACCGCCAGAAGATCGCTGCTCCGCTGAAGTACCGCAATTTCACGGTAATATCCGCTCCACCTTCGCGGAATATTATATCTGTTTTGCGATTGTTGCACGGTTATACGGATTTTGAATATGTAGCGCGCGCGCGTGCATTTCCCTCGTCCCGGCAGATGTGTGTGCAAATTTTGTAAGCGCGTAATCCGGCATTTGCATCGGAATTCAACCTGCGTAACGCTGGAACTCGCAGAGTTCTCTTGCACAACGCGAGCGCGCGCGGTTTCGCATAATTTGCGTCTCACGAGTTAACATGAGTTCGTTAAACATCGAATCTTTAATCAGTCACGTCATTAGCGGACGCGTCAATATATGTATACAGCGAACGCGCGCGTAATCGTCTCGCAAACAGAACGAAGAATAACTGTATGCGGGAGAATAATAACAGAGCACGTTTGCATTCTTCGTGCCTGTTCCTCGTCATTGTAAATCGCGACTCGTAACGCTATATCGAGCATCGGCAACGGAACCCCTTCACAATCCGCATAAAACCCGTTCCTCTTTGGCCTCGAAACCGCGCGGATGACTTGACCGGGTTGGGTTTAGGAATTTGGCACGTGCCGAGTGTAGTTAGAAACATTTCTTCCGCGTAAGCTTTTGAGCAAAGAAGGAAGAAAAAGAAGACACAGAAAAATATAATAAATAAACTTATAAATAATATAAAAATATCGATGGACTTCAACATTTTCTTCTGTTTTTTTTTCTTATAAATTTAGAAATGTTTTATCTACGCAAAAAGTTTTTGATAACATCTGTTTTTTAATTATCCTCCGCAATTGATTTTATTTTTTGATCGCAGGAAATGCATTTTGCGCACAGCCGTGTCTGTGTTTAAAACCAATTTTTGATCTAACTCTAGTGAATGTACACACCTAATCATGGTGAACGAGACGACAGATCAACGGTGTTGGTTACTTTCTCAAAGCACGGTCGTATTCGTAACCTACTTTGAACAGCGATGCAGTAACCGAGCGCAAACAGCAGACCGATGTTCGTGCTAAGACTCGAATTAGAAAGATCTGATTCGCTTTGATCTCCTTTGCATTGCCACAACACACCTTTATTCTACAAATTGATTGAGAGGCTAATAATAGCTAAATAAATTTTATTTTGTAAAATCAATTTTCTAATTTTCAATTTCAGGAATTAATCTGACAATGAGAACAATGTCATCTTCTGAAATAAATAAATAAAAAAAAAAAGATTTTAAAAATAGAAAATTGAACTCTGATATTAAAATGTTGAAGTTTTTAAAACAATGGTTAAAGAGTGTAAACAGCGCATTTTATGCTCCTTAAAGTATAAAAATATCATAACTCTTGAAGCAACTATCGAGAAACTTTTCGGATTGCTCGAGCACTCATCTAAAAAAGCAAAGCAAATACAAAACGACCACCATGAAAACTCGTTTCGTTGCATCAAGTAGAATTTCTAATCTCTATAGTGAAGTAAAGTGCTTCACAGAAGAATTTATCTTCTGATATGCCTGTTTTTGTTACCTGCTCAAAGGGTGGTCCCGGCACTTCGTTGGACAACCATCCGTGAAACATAATCCCAAGGTGGAGGTCGTCAGACATTCTTTTGGAATCAGTTCTTAAGAGTGAGTGAGTGAGTGAGTGAATGAGAGAGAGAGAGAGAGAGAGAGAGATATCAAGTGAGAAGCAAACTAGAGAAAGGAGGAGATACGAGTAGTAGGTGGTTTATCGTAAAAGTTTCACATGACCGAGTTAGAGAGTCCCGCGTCTACTCGGCGACAATGACTATGATACGAGGTATCATTTTCACGTGGGCGCCGCGCGTTGCATGTACGTCGCACGTCCCCAGTACGTATTAATTGGACGAAGGCCATAATCATAAACGTAATTTCGCCGTTCGTCCGTTTACATACATATATACATATATATACGCTCACACATTACCGCCGACGATCATCGCCATTCGTGCGCACTCGCGCTATTGCGCGCATTGAAATCACGTTCGTTCACCGGCATTCAGCCGTACACTGCTCTTCCGCATCAACACGCTCGAATACCCTGACAGGCATTGCACGTAAGCTCCGAATACCTGCTGACGTTTTAAAGATATTCGATTCTTTACAAAATTTCAAATAAACTTTGTCAAAAGAAGAAAGTATCCTCAAATACTTTAAAATGTATATTTTAAGATTTTCAGAAGTTAAATTTTAAAAGATAGTTAGTGTAACAAAATAATAACAATGGCAGCTAACAGAATGGCAGCTGATTGAAAGACGGCTATAAGTGGATCCGTTTAATTTAAGGTTGCATAATCGATTGTCGAATCATAGAAAGTGATCAAGCTGTATTATTCAACAGACATTAAATTTACGATGCGAGAATAATAATAAAAAGTATAATATTTAGGAAATTGCTCACTTTTATTTATATGCAATGTAATTTTAATCAAATTACTTGAAGCAACTATCCGGCAATAGATATCTATTAAATAGAAAGTTATCTCTCGCTCGTCTCTATACGCTTCGACTGTTTAACCAATCGGTTTCTAAACCTGTCAGACTTTCGTCGGTTTCATTCCCTATTTACTGTCATGATGCTCGGATAGGTACACGGATAAAAAGTGGCTGAGCCATTCGTAACCGCGAATCTATAGCTATTCGTAATACTCTGTCCCAGATCCACGCAATGCATCCAACAACAAATGCTGCCTTTTCTTTCGGAATTCAAAGAGTTTTTAAAATTTTAATTTTATTGACGTTATATTACAAATATGAATTGTATATAAGTTTATTGATATTATATTTATAATGTATTATTTTCAATATTCTAACAAAAAAAGTCAATTTTGCAAATTGTGATAATTAATATAGTAATAATTAATATAAAGCCTTTTCTTAAACTAAATTAAATATCGAGTTTCATTTAAATTATAAAGTCGCGTTAAGAATTAAATGTACGAAAATGCGGGTCAATAGTTCTGTAGTGTTTTCTCGATCGTTTTATAAACCGCATTCGTAACAGTGAATCCTGGACTGCGCAGGATTCTGCATATCTTCCACGGGAGCATTCTTCTCTGCGGCGATGTTATCGATGAAACTGGTCCGATACCTGACTCTGCCAAAACAAGGTCGGGCGTCGCGCCGGTTCACAAGATACTGGCAGCATCCCCCTTCGACGTTTCAGGTTCACCTCCGCAAGCTGTTTTTCTGACCTTGGTCGCTTCTGCACCTCTCGACATTCCAAACTAATCGAGAGAGGTACGCCTCCCGCTGACAAGTCAGACCTACACCCGTATGCGTGGAATGCATTCCGACGGACGCACCTTGATGCATATAGGTACCCGCCTTTAACCCCCGCACTACGTAGAACATTTCACGCAAACTGTCAAATATAAGCTCAATCGTTTTAGACCTAATAATAAAGTAATAAGTTATATTTCTCGTGGAGAAAGTATGAATTTTACGAAACGTTTGTGAGTACACACGTTTATGAAATTATATACAAATTATTCGAAAATTCAAAACTTGTACTCTGAGATTGTTACATATAAAACTTAATTACATGTATATTAAAAGTATTATATATTTAATCACATACAAATTTAATTATATGTGAAATGTAAAATTTTATTGAATAAAATTGTATTGCATACATAAACAATGAGTGAAATTTCAAAAATACATTATTATTATTATTATTTTAATCACACATAAATGTATTTTATTACGTATAAATAATATTTCTTTTTCCAATTAATTCTGTGTATATAATTGTATCTCTTATATAAAGATTACAAATTCAAAAGAAGTTCTCTAAGTATCTGTTTTATACCGTTCGAAATTAAAGCGCTCTTCGTCTCCGTTGAAGCTATACACTACAAAGGAGACACTTTAAAAGCACGGATTGCGGAAGTAGAATCGACTTCCTACTAATGCGCTGAACATGTCGCCTCGCTCACGGAGGAATTTCAGCCTGGCTGAATAACGGTTACAGCAGGCAAATCGCGTAAACCATCCTCACGACTTACGTTTCTAATTTTACCGTATGTTTAAAGAACGAATAATTGGGTCGACTTTTACGGTGGCTCGTAAAACACGGTGTCAAGAAATTCTTCGCGTAGTTCTGCTTGTCCTCTTGTCGCAAAGTTCGTCGCCGGCAAAAACATCAGTGCAAAGTTTCCTCTCGGAATAGCCGATATCCTTCACGCAAAAGTGTAGTACTTAACGAGCAAGGACGAGTTAATTATACAAGCTACGTGTAATAGCGATGTGAGATTGTCGGTCCAGTTTCCTCGAGGCGACATTGTTATCACTCGCGGGAAAATTAACCCGGTTCTTCTGCTTGCGCAACCGGTTTGGCATAACGATAATCATGATTCGGTTCCAATATTAGCGGCACGAAATTGAAGAAAATACAAATATCTCAAAAAATTAAATTTATTTAGTCGAAAAATAAAATCTATTTTTGCTAAATAAAATGCCAAGAAACTTCAATAGTTATTTTTAACTAAAAATTAGTTTTTATTAAATAAAATTTATCTAAAATTAATTAACAATTTCTTATTATTCATTTAGATTTACATTTTCGCTTTTTTAAAATATTAATAGAATTCTAAAATCGAAAAATCTATGCTTCAAATATCTCCTTTTTTTCCTTCTTTTTCTCTCTCAATTTTAAACAATTTGTATGTATAAATATAATTTCAAACATACATGAAACATTTATATCAAGCTTAAACGGAATTAAGATAATTACGAAGCAATGAAAATGATTATCTGTCGTATCTGAAACCTACTCACCATACTTGAAATTCAAGTATACTTTAATATAGTTTCCCATTGACATTCTAGATTATTTTCACATGGCAGTTAAGGCTACCGTCGATTATCCAATTTGCCAGCGAGAAACACACGATCATGCTTATCGAGCAAGCAAAAAAAAATTACCTGTCGGCCGAGCGGAATGAGAATGTTTATTCATGTTTGCGCATGTGAAAGTGCGCGCACCATATTGTAAAAAGAGAAAGAAAAGGAGACGCGCGCGACTCGCAGGCATTCGGAAATATGTACACATTGGAGGATCAAAGATACATATCGTATTTGCCATTCCTTGAGCAGAAAATTCGATGCGTTTTCGATAAGCATCCACGTGAAAGTACAATTACCCGCTCGCCCATATTTGCCAACGTTTTATGGAAAACCGACGAGGTATTTCCTCGTATATGGATGTTAAAATTATAGTCAATCTAAACGAAATGAGAGAAGTGAAAAACTCTTTACAGTAGTAAATAATTTACAGTAGTAAATAATGCGCACGAAATGAGAGAAGTGAAAAACTCTTTATAATAATAAATAACGCACGGCAATACGCTGCATACAATTTTTATTAACCCTAATTACAATACGCAATCATTTCCAATGTAATAAATTTTTATCGTGATATTCATATAAGAACGCAATCATTTGCGGCACGAAAAGAACATTTCGGCGCCGCAACATTCGTAAGGTGCCGCGAGAAATGAATGTGCCGTTACGCGATCGGAAATATATGTCTTCCTCTTCCTACGTCCGCGTCTCGCGCGTAACTCCGGTAACGGGTAAGGGCCCTGACGACGTTGAACGACGCATGAGGGGACCAATTCCCCGCGATTCCAGACGGAGGGGAAATTCGCTGCTCAGCATGGGCACGAGTTGACTTGAACGATAAATTAGACCACAACGCCGGCACTGCGCGGAATAGAAAGTTGCCTCGACAGTATACAGTGTGAGAAGCGTCGAGCGAAAGAGATGGAAAATGTGCCCTGACTTTGTGCAAAAAGAAAAAGAAGAAGTGAGGAAAAGAATAGAGAAAGAGAGAAACAGATTTATTTTATAACTTCGTTATGAGAAAGATAATCCTTTAAACGTACAACAAACATGGTCTTCAAAAAATCTTAAAGTATGAAAAGAAGTAGATAACTGCAGTCTTTTAACTTATTAAAGACCACTTTTGAAAACTTTTAATCAAATAATTAATTACCTTTTTTAATTAACATGTCATATTTTTTAATATCTTTCTTAATAATTTCATAAAAATATCAGCTCTTCGTCGAACAGATCTCCAGTACGTGGAGAAAAAAGAGAAAGAGTTACAGAGGAATGAGGATAGAGAAAGGATATACGTCGTGTGAAAATGTCGCATCCCCTCCGCCGCCGTCATCCGTGACATTTGTACACCCCGTTACCTCTTCTCCGTCACGTTAATAATTTAACTGTAATCGCCAACTGCCGTTGAGATTAACAATAATCCGGCGCTCTTCCTCGCGCGGAATATAATTCGACACGGCGCGTTAATTGCGACGACGCGAGCTTTCATCGAGATTAGGATATCACAACTCTCACCGGGAACAGTCCTGCCTCAATTCCGCGCGATGGAATGACGTACGCGAGAGAAATTCCAGACGGATCGCCCTGTCTCTGTTGGTCGCACGTACGAACAATACTCGTCGTGGGGATACTGATACCCGACAGCTAGATATTATTGTCCGACGAGGAGTGTCGAGAAATTTAATGCGAGGAAAATTGAATTTAACACAATGACAGATTTCTTCATATGAAACCACCGTAAAATTGTGTAGGATGAAATTCTTTACGAATCACAGCAATAATTAATCATTAAATAAACGTGTTGACGGCCATTATTCTTCCTCCACAGAGATGCGAAGCGAAGTGGGCGAATGGCTGGCCACGTGCGTAGGTTCGCCGATATGCATCCTGCTGCTGTCATGGTCCCTATTGATCTACCAGAATCAATCCTCGTCCGCGAAACGGAAGATCGACGTGCTCACAGTCGCGATTCTCTTTCAAAGTCTCACGCACCAATTGGGGTTGCTGCTTTACGCGATTCTCACTCTGATCCGTCCAGCGAATCATTTTGGAGGTAACTATAATTATTGCTTTACCACAATCTTCGATTGTCGCATTTTATCGGAGCTATTATTTCGATAAAATGCAATAATGTATATAATTTTATAAATATTTTAATTATTACAATAACATATATGATATTATTTATATGAAATTGTAACATTTTACCGTAATTACTGTGCATAAAATGTTGAAAATTGAAAATTTGATTACATTAATTTAATCACAATCTCTGTATATAACGCGAGGTCATTCTCCTCTTCGGAATTCATGGAGAAGCGCCAGCCGGTTCCCAACGATTATGTCATGCAAATTAATTCGGCGGAACAGATGCCGAAAAATCTGGCCGGATGCCCAAAAAAATTCAATCGTGCCATCTGCGATTCTTTAGATCTTTCAGATTGAGACTCAACCAATCAGAAGAAAGAAAGACATTTTTAAAGAAAAACATTTTTCAAGTTTAACGAACTTTGCTTTGATTAGCCAAACTCCAATCCAGTCGCAATCTCAGTCTTTAGTCCGATAGCGTTTTTAAACTGTGGATGATTCCTTGTCGCAGAGCTATGCTCAACGTTGGTGTGGGTGCTGAACTCGTCGAGTATCCTCCAGGAACTGACCCTGACGTCGATCGCGGTGTTCGCGGCGATCAGCAGCCGCGACGACGTTATCAATCTCACGAAGAACCACCTGAAGTACCATTTGGTGAGCCTAAGCATCATCAGCGCCTGCATCGGCGTCACCGGCGTCCTCAACTTCGAGCCAGAGGTCTGTGTCTTCCTCTCCCACGAGATCTCCCATAAATACGGGGTCTTCGTCAACTCCCTCCGGAGTCTGCTGGCTCTCACGTCTTTCTTCGGCGTGTTGGTCGCGGTCTTCAAAAACCTCTGCCGACCACCGACTTCCGAGCTGCTCAAGTCAATCTCCGATCTGTCCGAGGCGAGCTCGAAGAACTCCTCGGGTGCATTCGAGTGTCACCCGCAACATTGGGACCCCTCGAGCGGATCGTGCACCAGCGGCTCGACCAACAGCCGGGCGTGCTTGAGGAAGAAGCGAGTGCAGGTGGACGAGGCCAGCGGCAGATCGACCGTTTACAGCATACTCTTTGTCTGCTACATCTTCGAGCATTTGCCCATCCTGGTAATTATACGTTTCATTTTTACTCTTTACATTTATCTTCTTTACTTATATTAAATATCATTTCGATTTTCATTATTATATCTTTATTTGTGCCGTGAGATCTATAATAGATCCGAGAAATAATTGCGATGTATCTTAAGATCGACTTTCGTGCTATTGAATTGAATTAAATTCGATTAAAATAATCTAACACGCTCTAATAAACATAGCACGTCATTGATTGAATGCTTCCAAAAAATAATAGAGTCGACTGTTAGACAGAATATCGCGGAACTCTTTCCATACTTCTTTTTTTAATGAATTCTTTGCTTACTAACGCAAAATGCTCATAACATCAATAAACTACAAATTGTGAGATATTTTTCTTAAAGAAAATTTTATTACAAACTTGCCAATGATTAAAGAGGCCTGTGATATACTGTGATAATATGATTAAAGATACCCTGTATACGCGAACGGTATAGCAGCTGCTTATTTTCCCTACGAGTTAAAAGTTAATGCGACAAAATAGGAAACTTGTTTGCGGAAATTCATTTTGATCGTTAGCATAATCTCGTTACGTTAAAGGTCTGCGAATTGCAAAATCCGTTTCTAATTTATGTAAAAGTGTAAGAGCCCATGCAATGCTATCGAGAGATCGGCGCGTTTTTCCATACGGTTGGTTTAATTATTATTACTTTCGAATTGGAACTCCAACGAACCGGCAACACGCTAATTGTTAACTCACACTTAAGATATATCAAAGAGGCCAGGAAAGGACACGTGATTTATTAAACGTTCCGCGATCGCGCACGGCTAGCCCGATCGACGTTCTTTTTTTTTTGCTCGGCACAAATGGAATCATTTTTTGCGCGAGCATCTTGATCGTGTAAGAACGATATTTCGCAATATCCTCGAAATTGCGCGCGTCAAGTCGACCGTGGCAACGTTACGTAGTTAAAAGTAAGGTCGACCTCATTTATAGCACGCTCCTAATTATGCTTCTAAACAGCGAAAAACATAGGATATTTGCAAGGTTTTTTTTTTTAAACTATAGCCTATATCATTAGTATGTACTAAATTTCGAGCAACGTAGAATTTCTCATTAGTCACACCGCACGCGTAACGCTCAAGGTCCAAGGAAAGGACTTATATACCTTTCTCTCCTTGTGGAAAAATGCCAGATTCTTTTTTGATAAGGAAAATGGCAACATAGAGAATAAATGTAATTGCAAGATTCTGTTAAATATCAGATAAATGTCATATATCTCGGAATAAAAACGTTGGGAATTTTTATAACTTCTTTTTCGTTTGCTATGAGACGAATTGTTGCAATTAGTCGCGCCCCTGAAAATTTCCTCGTATCTCACAAATTCGATACGGTGGCCGGTCGAATTGTCCGATCGCCGTCACAGCAATTACGTCGGTACAATTACATCACGATCCGGAGAGGATTTTCGTGCGAGCGAGCGCGAGCCGGACGCGAGCATCGCGTTACGAGCGTCACGTGCCATCCGGAAGCGATCGACGAACCCTTCGGGCGCACGTGAGTGCCGGCCGCTCCTCGAGAAAGCGGCCGGGAGAGACAAAGGGGACCGTGTGATGGAAGAAGGGTCGACACATAAAGCGAAATTCGAAAGCGCGATCTTAATTCGGACAGTGACCTTAATCGGCGGAATCAAATTAAGAATTCACGCGGCACTGCCGCCGCCGCCGCCGCCGCCGCCGCCGCCGCTGTGCGCTAGTCGGTGTTCCGCAAAAGTCGTCCCGCGGAGAAACTCCCATGACCTTCCTCATTAATATTAATGACCGCGACTATTACATGCGTGACGCATACTATTTACATATGTGTAGGAACAAAGCGTGCGCGCGCGCACGGCCAATTAGGTTATCGCCTTAAAGGTGGGCGTACGCGGATCTCGCGGGCGTAGAGGATCGCGGAACGAGTCGCGCGTTGAAAGACCGCGTTTTCTTATATATATATATATATATATATGTATTTGAAATATATTGTTATATATATATACATATATGTATTTGAAACGCGCATAATATGCGCGATCGCAAAAGTGCGAAGTGAAACTCACGGCAAATTATTCTCACTCGTCGCTATAACTACCTCGCATTAAACAGCGAGCGATATTTTATGAATCATCGTCTTTACAATTGACGGCGGCGATCTAGGCGGATTACGAAATAAAACGATTCGCCGCCGCTCGATACACGTGAAACCCGTGCCCGAGATTCGCGCCTATTAGTTCGTTGAAAAATAATGGCCGGAGCACCGTTCGTCGAAATAAACACCGTTCTCCGCTTACACACGCGCAAATAGCGTGACGGCCGTTACACTCGTGTTATTTTTTTTGTCTAACGATTAAACTAAATCACCGATGTTAAATCTTAATTACAAACTCGAACAAAATATATCGACGAGCGCGTTAAAATCGACGAGATCAACGAGACTCTGTAAGCTTTTTTTTCTGTTCTTTTTTTGTCGATATCTATGCACTGATTATTTTAATTGTATGCAAATAATCTACATTTACCTCGAAATTCACCAATTCTTGAGAAATTTCAAACCAATGATTTCTCGCATATTAGGCAATTGTTTTATCAGAGTTTTGATCGGCCCGAACACACGTTTAACAAACGCGATGAGCGTGTCCGTGGGCGTTACCAGCTCGCTCGTTTACCAACGGCAATTAAAGTAAAACGTCAACGCATGAGATCAGCGCGAATTGGCGCGACTAAAGCCAGCGCTGGAGAAACTCACGCTGATCGATCAGAGACCGAGAATAAGTTGTAAAACAACTTGAGAAAATACGTGGGAGAAGGAAAAGAGGCACAGCGGCGATCTTCCGTTTAGCAATAGGAGCGATTGTATTCGAGATAATAGAAAAATAGGCGATTAAGCAAAATATTAACTTGAATCAATTTGATTTTTATTAAAACCAAAAAGAATTAAATTAAAAAAAATAACAAAGCATAATGCTATGCAAAAAAAATACGGTGCGAAAAAATACAAAAATAACAGGAAATTTAATTTTTCTCCGCTATCACGTATTATAAGATTTATATCAAAATGCTTATGTAACGTAAGTATAAGACATAATTTTACGAAAATCATTTTTACGCACGTAACACTAAAAGAATTAATTTTTAAAAAGTGTAATATAACAGAAAATTTACGATTATGGCAAGCATCGCGGCAACCGGAGCGATACATGTTGGAGAGAAAGAAAGAGAGAGAGAGAGAGAGACATAGACGGGGTCGAGAATTGCGCGTGCACCTTATACACGCTCACGCGCGCATGTATAGTGCCGCTCTATTCTCTAATTAAGGTACAACTAGTTTCGATTTCATACCTCAGACTAGACTGGCCGTTACTCACGTAACCAGCAGCGGTACTATCGCACGTTATACCGTTCGTGATAGAACATAATATACAGTGCGAGGCAAAAGTACACCGACGGGAAGGAAGACCTTGCTGCTCGTTAATTAATAATAATTTGATTATATTGTATCGCAATTAAAAATGTACATACACAAAATAACAGCAAGTGTAAAGAAATAAAATTATTTGCGCGAACGAATTACCTTGAAAAGAGGAAATATGTCTCTTTCAAGTTTATAAAAAGATCTTCTATCTTCGCGTGAAGTTACATATATTCTAAAAATACATACTTGTATATAATTTTACAATTACGTAAGGTTCATATAAAGAAAATATTCTTTAACATTAAACAGAATTAAATTAATTCGTAATCAAGATCAATGTTCTATTTAATCACATACGAGATCTTTATTAATGTGTTAAAATTTTGTTAAAAATAATATTAAATTCCACAGTAATACTAACGTTAAATTAAATTTTTTTGCGGCAAAGAGAGCTCATATATTTGTCGTGCCGTTTTTTACAAAAGACTTCAGCCAACAGAATTATCCGCCATCGCTCCCATATTTTCAATGCACGACATTATAATGATCGACGAAACGACGGCGATTCACGTATATACAACATGCGTGCTCAGCGCACGTAAAATTGCGTACCGGCTCGCAACATCGCATCACATCGCATCGCATCGCACCGCATTGCATCGCGTACGATGCCGCGTACTTTTGAAAGCGCGACCGCGGAGTTTTCACCGCGAATTCTTGCGCGAATCCACGGTTAAAAACGAAAGTTTTTTTTTTCTTCTCGCGGCATACACACACCTTCGTAAGAGGCCCGCGATATTCCCGACGTGCGGTGTTCTTCCTATCCGCGAGGCCCTTTCTCTCGCCTGCGAACGTCTGCAGGTATCGCTGCAGCATGCACGACAACCCAGACACACGTTTGAACAATTAGCCGCGTGTAATTGAGCCGATCCGAACGTTCGACGTACACGGGTGGATTCCGCACGGCGAAAGCTGGACCCAATTTCTGAATATAGACTCTTCATGACACGATTTCTGGTGAAATTTATTAGCGCGAAGGAAAAAACCCGCCGCGGTCTAGAATACCTAGATTGCATTACGTTGCATTAGGCGCAACAGATTGCAGGGATATACCGTTTTCCATATATTCAACCGTAATGGCCACATTCGATTAATGATTATCGCGTTCGTAAATGTTATTAAAAATATACTTAACGTAATCGATCATGAAGATATTATATATTATAACGGCAATAATTAACGTATCTCTACTATTACATTATATTGTACATTATATTACAACGGTGTACCATGTCCTGTTGCAATGTTTATAGAAGTATATTCATATAAAACGGAAGTATTTATATAAATTGAATATCGAAGCCTGACAGATCTTCAAATTAATTAAACACGATTTCCTAGATCATCTCCATTAGACCGAGCCTGCTAAAGAACTTCTGCACGCCGCAAAATCTGGCGACATGGTTGCCATTGGTGAAGGACACGCTGCTTCCGGTCTTCCTGGCTCTCTTCGACAAGATGTTCTGCCGATACGTGGCCAAGGTCTACACAAAGCAGGATCACGCGAGGAGACTGTCGCACTGTGAGTCTTTTTTTCCTATCGCAAAAAAAACGGGGAAATCTCTTTGCGTTTCGTAATGGTGACACTCCGAGTGATTTCCATTCTTTCGTTTAAGCAAAAACCATGCTGACCTGTCCGCCGTGCGCCGTGGGAAAGTAAAACTCCTACCGTGTAATAATCGTGATACCTGCCCGCGCAGCAGCGATATTCCGCGCGACAACCGCCAATTTTTTTCGTTAACGACGTGCGTTTGTGTAATTCACCCGTATTTTCATTTTGCAACATACGTAACTATTTACAGAGTTTCACATACTCCCACGATTCACAGCCGTCAGAGGATTTTTTCATTTGAACTGCTCAGTTTTTTGCATTCTATAACACACTTTTATATCAATCTGTAAAAAAATTAAAGTAACGAGATATTGAAAATAAAATCTAAATATATATGTATCGCCAAACGGATCTCAGTATTGCTGCTTCTGAATTAAAGTTTTGGAGAGCGGTGGAAGATTTAACTTTATATTTTCTCCCAAGAGAGAAATATGCTTTAAATTGTAAATAATTCGTAAAAGTGTTACAATTTATTGCGATCGAAGAAAACATTCTTACGCCATGGTGGCGGTCGATGTAACGAAATTTCTCTTTCAGGCGGTATAGACGGCAAATTTCGACACTTCGAGCAAGACACCGAGTACAAGCTGCAGTTGAACCTGAATCACGGGCTGAAGTTCCCTCTGACCAACGGAAGCCTCTACGGCCGGTTGCACAGCCATCAGAACAGAGGTGAGCGAGCCGGATGTCATCGAGATTTAACGATGCGAAAATATTTCGATCGCCCGATAGCTCGCTGCTCTCCCGGCCTATATTACTAATTGCGACGTTTCGTGCGGCTTTGTTAATGCACCCGTCGAACGGCTAGGCGCGACCACGTTAGAAAGTCCGAGACGAGTGCATCTCTCTCCCTCGCGCGCGCGCGCTCTCGTCTCCGTTTCACCATCACACGCATTACCGCTACCATCGCCGTCAGATATATATCAGACATTACGGGTCACTGTAACGTGAAAAGCCGAATGTTTCGATATTCCCGAAAGCGGCGACTTTCACGAGCCGCTGTCTTCCTTTCTATTACCCTCGGCATTCATCGAGTCGATTCAATGGTAATTTTTTTTAATCGCGACTGTTAAGTGCCACGAGCAGGATGATAAATGATCTAAATTATGAATGACAATTGTTGAATTTTCTCGTATAATTGTCGCTAATTACTCAACGGCCGGTACTTGTGTTCGCAGGGAAAACCGGCACGATTACCATGGGAATTCAGCAACACTATCCCAAAACGCAATCCATGAACGAGGACGGCAGCTACACGTCTCTACCGGCGGAACTGTCGTCCTTCACGAGCTCGACCTTCGAGCCGCGCCAGGACAGGATCCCGGAGTCGCCGAAGAAGAGCTCGGCGGAGCAGCCGGGATACGGCAGACGACCGAGACCGAACGAGAGCCTGCACGATAATCTGCTCGCCGGTAATCGCAGGAAGATCGGCAGCACCGACGTCTTCGGGCAGAACATGGAGAACCTGGTGCAGCTGGACGATCCTGCGAGCAATCGAAAGTTCCAGATCAAGAATCTCGACGAGATCCGCGAGGAACCGTCGAGGCGGCACGCCAGGAGCGTTCTCGGTCTGGAGAAGCTGATACTCGGGCTGGAGAACAATCTCCAGGAGCAGCATTACGCGAGAAACGTTCTGCGCAGGAATCAAAGCTTCGACCATGCCAGGTGCCACTTACTTGTCGGTTCGCCGATTGCTCTCGCGTATTATATGTTTTAAGCGTACCTTCACTTTTACCTGTGCCATTAAGCCGCCATCACGATACGCGGCGAGTGTGTAACTGGAAAGTGAGACGCCAAGTTTCCTATAAATTATTCAAAATGCATGGTTTTGACGCACATCACACATGGCAGGATGACCTACATTCGTTCAGCCGTTTCTTTCTTTTTCATGAATTCTAATATGAGAGCGCGTTAACGGATACATTCGTAAATATATATTAATGCATACAACACATTGTGTGATATTTTAATTTATAATATATCTCTATCAAAAATACATAAATATATTGTATATTTTTCACAAATTACTGTAAAACTGTAACGCTTTTCTCTCGCACGCACACAGATATCGGCCTATGCTCGACACGAGGACTTATAACTTGAAGAAGGACGAGCTTGCGAGAGAGAATCTTCAATTAAATCTTCACAGACGGGACAGTCACTGCGACGGGTACGACAGCTCCGACGATGAGAGTTGCGATCTGGAGAACGGCGATTTCGACACGATGAGCTCCTGCAGGAGCAGGAGCAGAAGCTGCTGTTCCGTCACCACCGTCGCCAATGATGATTTCGAATATTTCCAACGTAAGGGAACCAAGGTAATTTTTTATACAATTAAATCTCGCCATTTCTGTGCATTTTTAATTAATTTTGAATTCAATCCTCAAGCGAATCGCGATAAATCAATAAAATTCAATAGTATTCGTAAACATGATCTGTCGGCTTTCACATTATCTTAATTTTGCTGCAAGAATGATGATCAGTAAATTCAACATTTAGCGGTTAGAACGTTTCTCGATTTTAATGTTAAACACAAGAGGATGCAAGGCGTGCCAGAGGCACTTTCACGATGCAGGGCCCCGAGTTAGAAAAACGCTCGCCGCTGACGGAACGTTTCATCGGCCTTTTCGCGGCGATAAAAGGCGCGCGCGCACGCTTCTATATACACTTACGTAATCCCACATCGTGAGAACGTCCTGTTTTACAGGTGGAGCTGCTGCCCTCGAAGCGAACCAGCGAGGTAAAGGTCAGCATGCGATCTTTCACGCCGCGTATCATAGAGAACGGCGCGGAGGATCGCGAGGACAAGAAGTGCGGTAGCAACGCGAAGCTGCCGGCCGACACGAAGCCCAGCATACAGTCCTACCATCTGAAGACCAATCGGATCGCACCCGGTTACTCGATGAACGACCTCGACAAGCTGACCGTCAATAGAAAGCTGCCGAATCTCTCGATGGAGAATCTGAAGAGCATCCTGAAGAACTCCGACGTGAGTTACCTCGACAACGGCGACATATGCAAACACGAGATCGGCGGCTCGGCGCCGGACTTCAAGAAGATCTTCGTCTCCGAATTCATATGAAATTTATACGACGCTATGTAAAGTGTTCGTCAAGGCGAGAAGACTACCGTTCGTTCTCTCGCGATGTCAGCAGATGTAAATGACACTCTGTACGGTCGGATAACATTATTCCTCTTGGAACAGAATCTATACAGAAATTTGCTTATTGGAAATACTTTCGTTTTTTTGAGAAAGATCCGTTGAAACGGAATTTTCAAGGGAGCGTAAATTAGAGCATTGAGATGTATGACAATCTTAATTCATTAGTAGAGAAAATGATTGACGTAAATTATCTATATTGTTAGCGCACATTGCGCATATTCTCGAGGCATGAGAAGTCCTGTTGTTTCTGTATAATTGCGAAAATTATATTTTTCTACGTAAGTATCTTTTTAAATATATTACATTTTCGGACTTGTTATTAATTGTGTAAGCTGCGATCAATAAATTGCGGATACGCGACGTAACGTACATGCAATTATTGCAGACGCTCGCGCAGCATCGTGCCTATTTTTGTAAAAATGATGTAAAATACTTCACAATACGTAACGAATTTATCTAAGACGGAGGGGGAGTTGATTACATATAAACGCTAACTTGTAAATATTTTGTATATTTGTACCACAATATTTAATATAGCGATTATGTACATGTATACAATCAGGCGTGGTTCCACGACCTCTGTATCATTTGATTGTCGTGGAAACGACGAGCAAATTGTATAAATTAATCGTAAATAAATTTTACCTCTGGGTTTATGTGTAAGGAAAATTTCAGTGATTATTTTTGCATATCACTTCGTGACAAGGCTAAAGTTATTAAAATAAAAACTTTGTATTTCAAGTTTCATTATTTTTCCATTAAAATATTTATCTGATTTTCAATATAAATCCGGGTAAAGATATTAAATTATTTTTCCATCAAAATATTTATCTAATCTTTAATATAAGTCCAAGTAAAGATATTAAATCTTTAGTATTAATTCTAATGTTTCTGCTTAAATTGCGAAAAACAATACTTATTTCAGTCGAGAATATGCAACGCTAAAATTTCAAATAAATATAATTTTATTAACTGATTCCTTCACTGCTCATTTGTAGAATTTAACACACCATTTGTGAATTCAATCATTCAATTACAATCGTCTTAATCTCTCGAAATTGACGACAACGCAATCGTTTTACATTTAATCATAGTTATCAGCCTCTCGCGTATTGTTTTTTTCCCCTATGTACATGTATAGCGAGTGCCGCTCGTTGCCTGGCAAGATTGAGCATAGCCAATGTCGCGTGAACTCGACTGCGGCTGATTACAGATACGCCTTCCGTCGTCTATCGCGTGATAACGCGACATCGTAATCGCCGCCTGTTGTGTCGTAATTGCCTAATTAAACGATCTATCCTATTCTTCCACGATTTATTATGCACACGTTGACTAGTAATACACAGTTTGGCATCGTTAATCGTATCTTTCATCTACGATTGCATTAGTCAGTGGCGTAGAAACGCGACGCGCTCGCTTGCGTTAATCCGCATTTATTAAATTAATTATTATGATATGCGTAATTGCTCACGTATCTTTTTTTTATAATCTTTTTGTTTTTAAGAGAAAAAGAGATGTTTACATTTTTATCAAAAACATAGTAAATTTTCTATGTTTGCCACAAAGTTAACAATTAACAAATTAGTAATTTTGTAAGATTTTATCCCAAAAGTATTTAATTTCTTTGCCTGTCTCACAGTGCATGTACAGTTGCTGTTATTACATAATTCAATTTTATTCGCTCGAAAATATATCGCACATATCAAAATAGTGCTTAACTTGTTAATGCAATTTGGACTTCAATGTTATGAGAACCTGTGCATGCTTCATTCGATTTTGAAAATCGCTTGTTTCTCCAAGGACACTCTCGGATGTAATGATACTTGCTTCATGTATAAACTTATGAAAGCATTCGTCTCCCGGAACCATTAAACTCCCCTCGTGCGGATCTAAAAATAGTACGCTCGACGTCGAACTATAATACACAGCCACGTTAACCGCGTCAAACTGCGCTCTTACATCCTACTCTCGACGTCGCCGCATAGCAATCTCAGTACAAGAAAAAATGTCCACCAATACTTGAATGTATGTATAATATCATAATTCACATAAAGATGAAAAGTGAAGTGAGTTTCAATTGACAATTTACTATTTGGTTAATAAATATTAATTTTTGAGCGATAATTAATTAGATCAATAATTATTATCTCCTAATGATTTTAAAGTAAATTAGCACTTTGTAGGAATCTATAAAATAATAATATCGTACATTACTTTATCTTATTAAAGTATTAATGCAAATATCATTTCCAGTCTCTCGAAAAATTTCATTATAGAGAAACGCTCGCTATGTAGATTCATATTCAAGCTAGGAGCATATTACGACGTTGCGACTCGCAAATTCTACGCCACTGCACGCGCGAAAGCGATTTGATACTGGCTGGCACTTTGGTACAGGAACGCACGAGAGATTCCCACTCGCGTCCGATCGACTCCGCGGATCAATGAGTGACGTAGACGAGATCGCTGCCGCGGAAGATCGCCTCGATCACGGACTTCCGGTTGAATTCGCCACCCCGGGACTCCATCGCGGCCACCAGTCGCTGGTATCGGTTCCAGGCAGTCACCGACGCCACTTCCTTTTCCGGCCGGTCCTTAATCTTCTCGAACACGTCGCCGCTGTCGACCGCAGCCTCGGAAGTCTGGCACGCAGCCTCCGCATCCGGTATCATCTACGGAGTTGCGATCGAATGATTCGATATTGTCATCGGAATTCTCCATAATCGACGCGCGCGGAAAATTATCGTGTCATTTTATTATAATTCTGGAAAATTCCCGAGGTTGTTGGATTTTTATGATTATTTTTCTCATCGTGCGGATCTACATATATCTAGCTCATGTATAAAATGCAACATAATATCTAAGACATTAAGTCAGAAATTACAGCTATTACCGACCTTATTATTAAGTTATTACCAACAAATTAAAATCAGAAAATCAAGTCAATTTGGTCAAACAGAAATCGTCAGGAAATGCCGCGGCCGTATCTTGAAATTGATTAACGAGACTCTTTTACTTTGCAGTTATATTTCAAGGGCATCCGTTTTGATTTGGTATCAGATTGGCTCGCAATCGAGCGGAAGGAAGTCCTAGAGGGTTTATACAAAACGAGCATGGCCGATGTTTGCTGAACGCATCGTAGACACGTGTAACGCTACCCTAAACCCCGTGTCTGAAATCAATACTCGAACGGCATTACACTGTTACTAAGGATGCCCATCCCCATCGCCAGATTTTACGTCACCCCCCTGCGCCACTTTGACCAACTTGCGAGTTCAACGACCAAACGCGAGTCTTCGTGCCAATTGCCCCAAAATCGCGGTGCCGCAATCATTATTTTTTATTACGCTATTTGTTATTATTTACTTAAATTCTTTATTAACAACAGCTCACTTGGCTTTACAGCGGTCAATTACAACCATTTACAGTTTAGCTTTATTTTAACTTTGTATTTACAATTTAATTACATAAATAATTATGCTGCGGTAATATTTACGATTGTCGCTAATCAATGAACAAATAAATTTAATAAATTAACAAGATAGATGATAATTACTAAAACTGTTCCCTTCGTTCACGCGTGTAAAATCGAATAATTCAAGCGAGCAGGGAAATCACTTTGCGTTCCATGCAAACCCAATAATCTCGATGATCAATCAACAAAGCAGAAGAGATCCATTATCCGTTATTACCAAACCCGTTATCTAATTATCGTCCCGTTAGCTAATTAGCAGAGAATCGAACATTCGCTTTGGCGTGCCTTTGACTTCGGCGGGGCCTCTCTAATCGTTCTTTCTCGCGATGCATGCTCACCTTCGCCGTTCGGTTTCCGCCGGTTTCTCGCGCGACCTCGCGATTCCAAGGGTCAAGGTCGCCGTGCCCGCGCCGCAGCCTGAATTTCCGCTCTTCTGGAAAATTGGATATCGACGCCGGATTTGTCCAGCGCGACGCGTAGACCAGACCAGCGTGCGGTCCAACAGTAACTGAGGAAGCCCGACCAACGCGTCGACCATCAGCTGGATCCCCGCGATGACTTTTCCCCCCTCTGGTAGTGGGCCAGAACCTACATGTAGCTATACCATATGGGAGGGGGACGGCGGAGGGGGTGCCGGTTGAGAAACAACGCCGGGTGGTGTGTAGAGCGTGGAGGGTCCACCTCTTTCACCACTCTCACCCTGGTCGCGCGCCTAGACGACTCGGGGACCCGTTTCCGATTTTCCGCTTCGCGCAATTCGCGTGTCGCGGATTTTGTTCAGCGACGCCTCGAGTCTTGGCACCGAGAAGGGACCGAGATCGCTACCGATCGATGCACACGTGAGTTTACGAGCCGTTTTATGTGCGGTATTATTATAGCCATGATACTCCTCGTGTTCATGTTTCAGCGAAGAGATATTATTGCGCTCAATTGTGTAACTAGTCGTTCCACATTCCTCTGCACGACAGTTTTCCGTAATTGTAAATAAATAGACAAATAGATTTTTTATTTCTCTTTACCGTTGTTATTGTAATTTGTAATAAAATGAATTTAATTCAATATTTATAACGTAGAGTTGCAGCTAACATAAAACTGAAATTTAATTCTTTTACGTTAAGGCAATTTATATATTTCCGTGAGTAAAGAATAAAGAGGATATTTTTGAAACCTCTTGTCACATGTATTTTTAACTTTATAGATTTTATACTTTATTTTAGATCTATAATATATTATAGAATTAACATGTAATCATGATGAATACGTTATTTTATGACAAAGGAAATAATTAAAGAGACGGATAGAAAAATAAAATGATAAATAGTCAGTATGTTACAAAGAATAAATAAATAAATAAAAATTACAGTCGAGTGGCGTCTCAGCTCTTTATCAAGCAGCATTAATCTCCCACGTCGCTCTCGACTCGAGGATACGGGCGATCTTAGAAAAACAAAAACTAAATCTTAATCTCCTCGCTATACGGGAGGTGCTTTGGGAATATCAACGTTGAAGACGAATTGTGACAATAATAAACGCGGGTGGGCAGACGGGCTCGCCTTAAGTGACGCGTACTTAATTCGAGACGTCTGCATTCCGCGGCGGTCCCGCGTCGAAAGTCGAAAGACGCCAGGCCACACCGTAGGGGCTGTGTCGGCGGTCCATTGTGACCAGCGCCGGGGGAATCAAGTAAATTGGCTGAATTGGCCCGTCCGTGAACCGGCCACAACGTACGCAGATGCAGATGCGTGATACATCCCGTGTTGCGTAACCCGCAGGCCGTCCTCCTTCGCCCGAGGACTCGGATTTTTCAAACGGTTTACTTTCGTGAAGCGAGAAATTATAATTTATCTAATAAATACCCCATATTTCCAATTTGAAAATTTCTTAATGGAAAACAGGAAGTAAATTATATCGTGACGTATCGATACGATGATACAGTATAGAACTCCGTTTAACTGCACTCCATTTATACGAACAAATTTGTGCTCAGTTCCAAATATACGAACTTATATCTGAGCTCTTGTTATTCGACCGTTCGATAAAAGTGTTAGTAAGTTTCGATTTACATTTATATTTGTGTATACGTTTGATAATCAGACAATTTCAATTTTTGTTTCAAATCCTTTGTCTCTGATTATCAAACGTACTTCAAGAAGAAGCGAAATTAATTATGCGTCCCGTATAATATAAAACTAACGTCGCAGTTTAATGGGACGTGTACGGTGAAATTTATTTGCGACAACTCAGAGAGCCTCGGTCGGGCCGGTGCAAAAAAATTGTCTTAGAAACTAAAGTAGCGGAAAGAAGCTCGTGCACCATCGCGCAGATGGTAGCAGCATGCCGTGCATCAAGAAGATGGAAGATAGATATTAAAAAAAAAGTTTCACATAACGTACGATCGTTGTTTTGTGCATACATCTGCTCGCAAAAAGATGCTGCCGCTAGTCGAGCAGTACCTACGGATTGTTCAGCAAGCTGCGCGTTAAATTCAACAGATGACAAATCATAATCAAACCCTAAAAGTGCGCGTATCTTATTGGGTCCGCAAATTAAGAGACGCATCGCGAAAAGAAATTATATAAACGCTCAATTCGTTTCGCCCGATCGAATCGAGCGTTCAATTGATACCTCGACATAGAAAATTGATCTCTCACGAAATCTGCCAGATGCGGACCTAATGGCCAATCGGTGTCCATTGTCTCGGCCGCGTGCGCGCCGAGGGCGCGTGCACCTATAAAGGAGGTACCAACGCCACTTTTACAGCTGCCGGAAGTATACATCTGCTAACGCAGAATCTACTAACCGTGCGGAGGAGATCGGGGCCCGAAAGAGAGGGCCGTCGGCTAACAAGCCGCTGTATCGCACTCTCTCGACACACTGCACTCGCGCGTCACTTTGCAATTTTGTGCAATCGTGAAGAATTGTGCCCGCCGTCGACGGCTGCTAATGAACCGCGCGTTCCTTACGTCGAGACGAATAATCAGAACGGTTAATTAAAATTTGGAGGAAAAAGCCGAGGGAATGAGATAGAGACCCTTGCACGTGGCGGGTCCGCGGACAGACGGCGAGGCCCACCTTTATTTTCGAAAATAGCGGCAGCTGCCCGGAAGAAACGATCGCGGGGCACGGCGTGGCTCGTGCTGAACACCTTTCGTCTCTAAATCGAGGGTCCTGGCACGAGATCCTCGATGGAGATTCGTCGCCAAGTATAAAAATTTTTATGCATATTCGGATTAATAGTCATATGAAGATAAGCATGATACTGCTCTTTCGTCATTTATTAATTAAGAAATTCAAACAAATAAAAATTGTAAGATTGATTAGTTTAAGAATTTTTATGTAAGGAAAACCAAGACAATTTGTTGAAAGTAAATACTGAGCAGAAAACACAAAGTCATCATGACATCAAAAGTGACTCGGAAATGATTATTATAAGAGTCACTTTTCGATCAGTCACGATTAATCTTGACATCATTATATTATCGTGACCTTTTGTTCTGGATAGTTATAGGACCTTTAATTGCACTAAGGGAATATAAATTTATTATTATATTATATATTCAGGTTTTTCATCGAGCTTTTAATAATTTTATACAACCTTAAACAAATATGATGGCATCTCGATTGTAATCATAATTGATCGATCAATCATAATTCCTAATTGAATATTTAACTCGATAAATAACGCACAAATTATCGTACCTTGAATATACTTTTCAGAATTATGCGTCGCATTCAGAAAGATACCAAAAAGGAAGAATGCGCAACGCATCTGTCCCTGTTTGAAATTATCTGCGTCATCAATGACTGAGAGTGCAGCAGCCTTGTCACGCTCGTTATTAAAATAGCAATCAAGTTTCACGGACGGAAAAATCGCGACGTGCATACGTGCGTGTGGCATGCATGTGGCAATTTGCTTTAAAAGTTGCATCGTTATATCTACTGCTTGTAACGACCGTATTTGCACGCATAACTCACCTCCTTGACTCGCCACCATAAACGAAATTCGCAGGTGTCCTCAATGAAGAAGTTATCTTACCAGTTGATAATAAATAATTCTTCCGCCTCGTCTGTGTTTCTGCGCGAATTACCCTCGCTTTATCAAGATTGCCTTAAAAGACGAGAGGCGAAATGCGAAAGGACAGAAAGAACAAAAATAGGTAGAAAGGAAAAGAAATTGATTTATTGTTATTCTGAAGGAGATAATATTATCCTTCTGTCAAAATAAATAGGATATAGGATACGAAATGGATACGATAAAATCTGTGCAACAATAATTATATCTAAATCATCGAAGTATTAATTATTTTTAATTAATGTTGGGCTGTATCGCTTGAATTATTAACACTTAATTATAATGATTGTAAATGCAGTAAAAAGTTATTTAAAGGAGTTCACCGTTTAACATCTATGCAATTTTATTTGGTCTTCGTGCTCAAACCTTAGGGTATATCGCTTATCTCTACGAAAGCTTTACTTCTAAAATATGGGGTCACAACAGTATATTATACGTCGATTTTTCTTCTAATCAACGTGATCCGCGGATCTGCAACGTCAACGGCCGCCGCCCGGGCGCAATGTCCTCTCAACCCTTTTTTCGTGTTCTCACCCCCGCAGCTGACGAGCTGACGGGATACCACCTGACGGTTACCACCCGGGACAGCTGTTCTCTCCCCTTCGCGAGGCTCGCGTACATCTTCTCCTTTCCTCCGTCGTCTCTCGCGCCCAATGCGTCCAAAAAACCAAAACGATTTCATATGGCAAAAAAAAGTCAAAAAACCCCATGCTTCGTCTCGAACAGCAGGATGTGTTCCGCGGTAGGGACGAAAGGGGATTAATCATCGGCGCTACCCAGTGGGACCACGTCATCGTGTAATAGCATATATTCAATATTCATTACAACTGTGATAAAATTAAGACTTGAAAATTTTAATTGAGAGGCAAAATTGTGTCTTTACGTAGCGAGATAATTAAATTACTCTACAATATTCCTTGACGGCACATCGATACGACTATCATCCCCCATCGTCGCATGTCTCTTCTTCGGATATCAAAGTCCTTCTGTCTACCTTGGACAAACCCAGCAGCGATCATCGGATCGTCGCGAGGCGGCCAGGAGGCGAATGTGAAGTTTCGAGGATTGCGGGAGACGGTAAGAAAGAAAGCACATAGATTCTCCTGGTAACAGCAGTCGGCGAGCTGCCGCCGCGCCGCCGCCCTGGCTTATTTTCGCTGGACGCGAACGTCGAAGACAACAAAAGTACCTCGACGGAGCAGATGCATGGCATGTGCTACGAACCGACACCAGATGCCCCATTGGCGTAGAGAGATCCCTCCTCGACGGAACGACCCCGATAAAGGTGCACGGCGCGCGATTCCTTTCAAGCTAGTCGCGTGCCAGATCCACAACCGTTTTCTTCGTTCGCGCATGTTCCCTTCCACAAGTCCCCGTCACATATCATATCGCGAGCCGTTGGTGTACGTTGGGAAACGTCCGGATGGACGACCAAACAGCTTTTTTAATTTTGCCAAGCCAAGTCTAGTTTTCTTTTTACTACAGAGACACCGATTAATATTTTCAAATATATTTCAGAACATGTGTCATCTATATGTATATAATGTATACACATATAACGTGTTGCATTTGCGACGAATTGAAAACGAAATTTCCCTGACGAGTCAACAACTGAGTGAAACGGCCGAATTAATTTATCAGCTCGATAAATATCTTATTAAAAACTTTTCATTTTATTATAAAAGTGTTACATCATTTATTTGTATCATCATGTGAACGTGACACATACACACAACGTTCGGTACAACAATATTTTAGATAAAATTTCGATTTTACGAGTTGTGCCCCTGAATTCGATTTATCGAAATATCCAATTGAAACGTAATTTAAAATCAGATTTCTATAGAAAATGCCTAAAAGTACAGTTTTTGCGGCGCATTAAATAAGTCAGAACTGAACGCTTCGCGACCAGGTTTGAGTTTAAGGACTTAGGGAAGACGAGAACGAGACGACGGGCTTAAATTAATTTAGCGGCCGTTTATTTACTGGTCAATGTTATCTACAGAGCTTTATTGTAAAAGTAACAATAGTCGTGTATAAGTTAAAACGATATATTATACATATGTACAGCTTACTATTCGGTCGCGGGGCGGGAAGAACGTCGATCGCTTCCCATAAAAAGAAAAAAATCGCGCGAAAGAAAGGACACTTAAAAGAAATTTCTCCGCGTTTTCGCTTCACAGTCGTGAATCTCGATCCCCTTCGCATGCGATCGATCACGACGTAAAGTCCATCTGACTCCTCGACAAGTGACGCACGATCGAGGTCGATCGTCGATCCTGAATCACTGGCGACGATCAGTTTCATTTATCTCGTTTCGTTTTGCTCATGCTCGTTTTATTAATCGCAGGATCGATTTAACGTTGACGCGTGCAATCGATGCACAATCCCGATCAATTTCTCGTGTACGAGGTATAACGTCGTACGATCTAAGTGACGATTAAAATGTGGAAATTTCTGGAGGTTTCGCGACGAGTCTTTCTGCAGATGGTCGAGACGGCGCGGGCGGTCGACGCGCGCACTTTCGCGCGCGTCGTTTGCTTAAACAGCATTGCTCCGAATGAAGCCACCATTATATTATTAGTATTATTAAGGAGGACACACATTTCAGGCCGTCTGAATTGAATGAACGACTCCTCGTGAAACCCCGATTATTTCCACGCCAACAATTTCCTTCACAAATAAAGTTTCGCTTGATCTACGACCGAATAAATTCCTATCTAAATCTCTGAGCTCTCGTCGTCTCTCGTCTAATCCGAATTATATACAATATTTTTCGGGGCTAAAACACGTTTCTCTTTCCTATTGTCGACACTGTTGCCAATTTCTTCGTATACGATCCGACTGAAAAATCGTTTCGCGCATAATCGCCGACAAAAAAATGCAACAATTCCAAAAATCGATTCTTTAAGAGCAACTTAAGAAAAACGTATATCAACAAATTTAATTTACAAATAATTTTTATTTTCTATTATTTGTATAAACATAATTTCGGACGTATAAAAAAATTATATCTAAAAAAATTCTGAAATTTTCTGTCGGCGATCACCGATGCTTATCTCACTTCTCTCTCGTATCAAATACTTAACGTCTTTTTTTCTGTTATCCCGCTTATCGTATTTTAATTCTTTCGATGACCTCTTTAGTTACGGCTAACCTAGGAATTTGTTTTAAGAATAATAATTCTAGTTGTGATTCGCCGGACGTTTCTCTACAGTTCGATCGCGATTCTAACTGCTAGAAATATTTTTTTCTCTTAATGATGCCCGAAGCCATCTTCTCGGGAAATATCGTTAGGAATTAACTACCGTCTCCTTAAAAACGAAAATAGAAAAAAAGAGATATTTTAATCCTTGATTAAGACGTTCATTTTGACGAATTTCATAGTTTTGAACATCTCGTCACAAAAAGGAAATGGCGTTCATATCGATCCAGCGTATGAACGCTTTATTATTCGAAATTATAAGTAATCGTCGAAAGGTAAAACCGACTCGCGCGTGCAGCGTCTGCGGGCAAGCACCAAATTGACGCTTCAGTCAAAATGTATGTTTAACAATCAACGTAATGTTTCAACAAAAGTAATATCGAACGACTCAAATTAATCGTCTCTCAGCAATGTAAGAAGGTAGCAGAATCAAGAAAAGCCGGTAATAGTAATTAACGTCGAATTATTTATGGCATTAAATAAATCTCTATGACTCGAGAAAATTAAAGAAAAAAATTTCCTCAAAAGAAGACGAAGGAGAAGAAAAATGTAAGAAAGCGAAGTAGTCTTGCGCAAACGATTTCACAACACGCCACGTCCTTACGCTCGCTTTATTTAAATAACAAGATTAATTCAATTCCCAGATTTCTCTCTCGAAAGTTTCCTCAGCGAGGAACACAGTCGCGGGAAATAAATTTAATCGCTCTCTACCTTAATGCTTGGAGCCTCATCAATCCAGGAGCAGACTCATGTCCTGCGTCTTGGCGTCCGTGTACGCGGTGTACTGCGTGAACGCCCGCTCCCTCTGCAGATCCAGGTGATTCTTCATGGCGATAACCGTGGGATGATGAAGCGGCAGACCCTCGTCCTCGACGAGGTATCGCAGCGCCTCGGTGGCGCAGGCATCCCATCCTGCCGTCCAGGAATCGGGACTCTGCTCCTGCTGGTCGCCGAAGGAGGACTTTCCGGCGGACTGCGTGGCCGCCGGATCGTCCGTCCACAGACGACGATCTAAGCTCGACGAATCGTAGGTCCGACCATGCGGGACTTCCTGGCGGAAGTTGCCGAAATTCGTGAACTTTGTGCAATTCGCGTTTCGCTCGTCGAGATCGTCGAACAAATCGAGACCGAAACCGTTTTGACGAACAGACGCTTTTGGATGGTCCACTTGGTCCTGAAGGCTACCGCGGCCGAGATAGCTCGTGTCCTGCAGCATCTCCACGTTGCGCATCGTACTTTGATCCTGATACGCCGCTCTGCTGGTCGAGGAGGACTGTTTCTGGGAATATTTGAGCTCCTGGGCTAGGGAGGCGGCGAGTTGGTGAAACAATTTGGTATTATCCGTTTCCTCGTCGTCCTCCTCGAGCTCGTCAATGTCTACCTCAACGCCCTCATCCTCCTCCGATGAGAGAAGGTCCTCATCGTCTTCGTCCATGCCTAACAAGGTCAGTAACCGTTCGGCGGCATCTACGCAGGTTGTAAACGGCCTAGATTATCTGATAATGCGAGAAGATTGACTCGAAAGAAAATATATGTGTGTGTGTGTGTGTGTGAAACTCTCGAAGAACGCCAAGATTTTTGCATGTGTCAAATTAGCACCCCAACAATTAAAATTCCGTAGTTCTGATCAGAATTCCTGCTTTATTTTGAAGAGACGAAGAGTTCCTTACAGTTTATAACTCCAGATATTTACAAAATAAAGCTATTATAGCCGCTCAAAATTATTGAATTTTGATCATGAATTTTGATAAGAAGTTAGCACCCCATTTTGTAAATTTAAATTAAAAAATGTTATTAAGCAAAACTGTTGTTGCAAACTGTAGGGAACTCTTCGTTTTTTCAAAATGAGAAGCGAGAACTCTAATCAGTATGGAATTTTAATGTTGAGATGCTAACTTCACACACGCAAGATTTTTCAACAAAGAAAAATCAATTCCATAAAGATATCCGTAAGTGAAATTGATAACAAAATCAATTCTAAAACAATCTGCATATGAAATAAAATCAAAATTTAAAATTAGTAAAATTAAGTGCCTGTACAATATATTCATATAAAAAATAAGATTTATATAACTTTTAAGATTTCATTTTGCTTCGTATTAATTTCCCTATCTCTCAAAAATTTTGTAATTTTCGAAAAAAAAAAAATTTTTTTTTTATCAATTGTATATCAAACGTATAAGGAAATTTAACACTAAAGAAATTCAAAGTGTGAGATACAAATCAGAAATATCTCACAGACGAATAAAGAAGTTGGTTATAAGAATGGTAATCTCGTTAAGTCGCCGGATACCCCCGTAGTTGAGATTCTCTCGAAAAAGACAAGACCTCGCAGATGCATCGCGCGCGATAAAGGCTCTCGACGTTGAATCGACGACAATGACCGGGAGAGAGAGTGCATTATTGTAACAACCGGACCGCGATTCGATGAGTAGCCCGCCGCAATGAGGCCGACGGCCCGGTTTTGCGGTCCTGTGGGAATCCTGCCCCATAAACGTCCCACGGGAACTACCTGTCGCCCGAAACCCACACCCTGTCGCATCCGCTCTGCGAATCGCCGCATTTCGCACGAGTCCTCTCTCTCTCTCTCTCTTTTCTCATCTCCCTCGTCCGTGTGTGGTGTGTCATAATGTGATTCGATGCATCGGTACCGTATACGTGTGTGCTCTACTCGCCGTTCACACACCACCGCGAGAGCGGAAAGGTCGTTTCTCCGACGAGGGTAACTTTGAGATACCTGTTCCTGGGAACGGGAGCGATTTCGATCGCAAAAAAACGATCGATTAACTTACGTTCGACCGCGGGAATTCGAATAGAAGAATTTAATGGGTTATGTAATTAATGTTGCAATTTTATAGAAATCTTCTAGTAAAACACATAGATAAAAAAAAAGATATTTAAGTAAATTAAGTTATCAATTTTAAATATATAAGAAATATTAATTCAATAAATACATCAATACTGGAATAAAAATTAAATATTGAAAAGACATTACTTAAGAAACACGATTAAATAAAAATTTCATGTAAAAAAGAACAGTCTAATGTATTGGTCTAATTCGTTCAAATAAAACATATCAATTATTTTATTAATATTATTTATTAATATTAATAAAATAAATTTATTAATATTAATATTATTTAATATTAATATATTAATATATTAATATAATATTTAATATTAATATTATTATTTAATAATAATTTGAATTAACGTAAATGACAATCCAAAGAAAATGGGAAGAGAGTATACATGTTTAGACAAATTATTCTATAATGTCTTCATTATTCCCGTATCTTTTCTCGACGCCACAAGGGTGCTCGACTCAACGTTTTTTCAAACAGACGAACGTATATTGCGACTCGCGTCGTACTTGTTCTGTTTTTTTTTTCTCTGACGATAATAGAAAAGTCTGGACCAGTCGCGAGAGCGAGTTCGTTGATTCTACTTTTTTTCTCGGACATCTCTTTCTCTCTCCCTCTTCAGGAGGAGCATCAATGCGACTCTCCGTGCCGGACGTTCCCACAGGGATACCCCGTATTTAAATGTCCTGTTCCCTATAGTCTCTACGAGACGTAGCAAAGTTTAGATTGGATTGGGTTAGGTTAAGCGACGATTTAAAGGGACTGAAAGATACCTAACGAACGAACCGTTTGTTTCTACCCCACAAATATGTATGAACCGTAAAAAAAAATAGAGATGGAAGAGACTGTAATAACTATAGCAAATGCTTATATATAGAATGTGTATCGATTTAATAGTGTAATAATTTATATATATATATGGAAGACACGTATGGTACTCTATAAAATATTTATTATTATTTCCGACAGCAATAGGAAATTGTCTATGAATAACAAATTTATTCATGCATTTTCCATGCGAATAACAGTTACGATAACGCGGCTATAAAATTATTATTCTCGGTCGTCAATAATGACGTGGCACGTATTGTGACTTAAATTATGCGCAGAACGACTTTTATCACGGTCAATCAATCGGCCTCATCGTGACGACCGTAAATTTGTTTACGCGCATTTTGGAGTCGCATTATAATCTATATCGTTTAGCGATATCGCACTGAAATTGCTCCGACGAAGGAGAGACTATAATTCTTGTCTTGGGCGAATAGAAATTCTTGTTAGCTGTACGTACACAGAAAGCCGACATTAGCATAGAGAATTCATATTTCAGGAGGAGATCGGCCGAACTACAGTATAACGCGGCAAACGCGAAGCTATTCTCCTACAGCGAGAGCAGCAGCCGACTTATATTCCGTGATTAATGACGTCGACCTAATAAATTTTAATGGCTCACTCGCGCGTACCGCTTTACGAATAAATACAGGTACAAAGTTTCGTAGTGTTACGCCATTACAGCAGGTATCTACGTCATTTGCACCTTATTAAAAGTTTTAATCGAGGCGACTCGAATATGGCGCTCCCATTGCGCTTTCTGAATCATTTTATCGTCTTGAAAATCTCTCAATTCAGCAAACTAATTAGACTGTTATACGAATAATAATCTGTTACACGAATAAAGAAGCTTCTCTTAACGCAAAAATAAAAAATATAAAATGTAAAGACTTTCTTAAAAAAAAAAACAATTGCAGAATTTATTTTTTTACTTTTATACTTTTAAAAAGTTGCTATTATATAATACGTTATTATTTATATATTACTAAAACAGCTAATTTAATGTTAAACAAAATTAAAATAAAAAATATAATGCAATAGCCCAAAGCTTATTATACAATAATATTCACGGAACAACGATAACTGCAGTGTGTTTAACAAACTGCTAAGAAGCAGACATTAGTGCGGCTATTCTCACGCTGGAAAAAGCCGGTAAAAGAAGACGACAGGGTCCAACGTTATTATAGGAAATACCGGTGACGTTTTTCAACGGGACGTAAGGATTTTCTCGAGAAACTCTCTTGCTACACGGCAAGTATGCCCTTATATACGACGTCGTAAAATATTTCCACTTCACGTTCAGGTCTTAAAAAGAGGCCAAATTTACCGTGTTCACGGGTCAACGTCAATTTGTTTCGTATCTCGGAAAACAATTTCACGAAAATAGGAAACAAAGACATGTGGAAAAGTAACAAAAATATATACAGTTTATCGTGTAATAGAGTAATAATGTACATAGTTAAAAATAATCACGTTGAAAGATTTTGATCAGTGCGCAAACATAATTGTTATTACGTTCTCATTTTAAATTTGCATTTTATAAATATTTTATAAAATACATTGTATTACACATTATTTAAAATACTATAATTTGCAAACCTCAACTGAGAAATAAAAATATTCTTTTAAATCCTGAATTTTAAAAATAATTTGAATTTCTTTTTTTTTAATTAATCACATTTACGATTATGCAATTACCTAGGCTTACGTTACTTACGTAACGTATAGATAATATTTCAATCTGAAGAATGTACAATAAATGAATTACCTCGTATTGTACGTGAATTATCCGTGATATCACTGGCTAAGTCGACGAAGTCCTCCAATCCTCCGCTATCTTCTCCGCTATCTCCTCCACAATCCATCATCGTGTCCTGCACAAAGAAAAAATAAAGAAAAAGAAAAATCCATTCTGTGAAATATGTCGCAAGTGTCAGCCTTAAGGCTATAAATGGAGTAAAAATTGCATTAAGAACTACATTAATCTATCTTGATTTGTTACACGTTTGATCACTTCGCCAATTGATGGATGAGGGAATTAATAATTAAATAAACTTTTGATTGCAACTAATTTTATCGAAAATAAAATTAGTTGCAATCGCTATAGTAAAAGACTACATGTAAATTGTCCAGTACTGTGATTGCTAAAACGTGCCTATATTTGTACTTAAACAATATATGTCGCAATTAAAAATCACGCTTGGAATTTAATTAAAGTCCATGTGAACGACGTTCATATTAAAGCATGACAAAATGTTATAACTGTAAAATAAATAATCGAAATAAATCCATGACTGGACGTAACAACTAATTGTAACGAACAGATCAAAATTTCATTTAAAAACTTCCAAAATTCGACGTAATTACCGTCAATTTCAAACAAAAATCCGATATGCTGTGAAATTAAATGCTGCAAATTGCTGCAATTCGTATAGCAAAGTTATTAATGTCGTTATTTGTGTAACTTTTGTGCAACGCTGCAACGACATTAATGACACTCGGAGTGGTCTTCAAGCCGTCAATTTGCTGTTAAATTTAGTAATTCGCAAGAAAGCGCTGTTAGCGGCAATTTCTTCGATCGAGAAGAGCTTTCCCCGAAATAATTACTGTATCAACGATAATACGATCGCTCGTAGGGATCGCGATGATTTCTCTCGTTAATGACAAGCCTTTCGGTATCAGAATTTTCATTAATTGTAAGTTATAGATTTAGAAGAGAATTTACAATACAAAATATCCTTGCGTTTTTTTTATTCCCTAATATATTGAAAATAGAAATTGAATAAAATTTTAAAAAATAGATATTTTATTTCCTATTTTATATTCTAAAACTAGATATCTATATTTATATAATTTCATCAATCTATTAATATTCAATTTGTAAAATAATTATATTTATATATTAATAACAATACATGTACATTAGTAACATTATCTCTTTTTTCCTTCCCTCTCTTTGTTTTTTTCCTTATTATATACCTAGTATCTCATAAATATTCTGATGAATGACAGATAATGATATAGCATTTACAATCTTTGTTACGTCATGTTTTCAATTGTTAATCGATGCATTGATTTGAATAATTTATCATGATTTACCAACCTGATTCTAATTCTTTTGCAATTTTCTTATACATGATAAAATTCTCAGCAATAATTGTAAACGAATTACAAGTACAAGAATTAGTAGAAAATCGGCAATACTTTCACCTATATTTTGCACGACGAGTAGACATAAAAATTGTGTCCTGATGTATTAATAATATTCCATTTTTTTTTTAAGATTTTATTATCGACTGGCCAAAAAGTCAGATTTACGAACAACTTTACTTCTTTATAAAATTTTGAAAATTTAGTATTTCCAGACTGCAATCCGAGAAGCTATTAGTCAGTTCCAACAGGCAGGTAAACGATATTTAAGAACGGCAATTGCACCGAGTAACACAATGACTGGCAATAAATAATGAAAAACCACAAATAGGTGAATATATGCATTGCATTCTATTGTCTTTTATAAGAATGTGGAAAAGACATCTCTATTATCCGTTTTTTCTGCAGATGTCGATTTAAAAGGAAATTTATAAGATACTAAAATTGTATGGAATAGCGGAACAGCTCGAAGGTAGGGAGGAAAATGTTTAGAGAGAGATTTTTCTGATGGATGTGGGTAAAAATCAATCTTGCCACTCGAACGTCGACACACCAATACGAATTCCCTTGGAACGGTGAAAGCGAGAATGCGGAGAAAGTTCGTGAATGGGTTAAAATGGTCATGCCGCCGGTCATGACGAGAATTTAAGTACGGCAATTGCACCGAAATAAGAAAGGAAGAAACATAAACGGCGCGATTGCTAGTAAACATACGGATCAAATAACTTCTGCCGACGTAATGACAATTATGACCATCGCGATTTTCACTTAAGTAGTCCTATCAATACGTCGCGCAAGCTATAATAAGCTATAATAAGCTACAAAGTGAAATATGATAAGGTATAATATTGTGTAACAAAGTAATTGTGTAACAAAATAAATATAATTAATACTTTCGATTTATAGAGAAGCTATTAAAATGTACACAGAACGATGTTTAAGATATTTACATTATTTGTGACAAAATAATAGCTTGCAGCAATATATTATAATTAATGGATAAAATATCGATTTTATGTAAATCAATATCTGTGTATTACATAAAGTGCCACTTTTATTTAACCTAAGAGCGATTATAATACTAAAAATATATAAGAAGTGCGAGGATCGATTTCGTTTTGCTTGTCGCGTGCTAATTATCGCCGTTACGGAAAATAGCCTTAATGAGTTTCGACCGCAGCCGGAATCGATTCGTTCGCAAATCTTTCGCCACTAATTGCCTCGGTATGGAAATGTGAATCGAATTAAAACGTGCTTGATGCATTCGCTCGCGCGACCGATCTTCACTGCAACATTCGTTTTCGCCAAATTAAGAACAAGCTCGAACGCGATCGATATATGCAAACGAGAGATCATTGTAAATTTCCGCCGTTGAGGATACACTTACTATGTCGATCGTCGGGAAACTAATCGGAAGATCGACGGGACCGTATCCGCGCGCGTAGATTGTAGAAGGTTAAGATACGGCGAGAGCTGATAATATCTTGTTGATATTTCTTCTATACTTAACTTAAAACTTCTGCGATTAAAGTCGATGCAACAAATGCATGCAAATTCGCGTTCGACTCCTCGCATTCGTGTCATTCCGCATAATCGAGGTGACCGTAACGCTCAAAGGCACGCTCTAATCGATACATGAAGGAGCGAAAATAGATTTCGGGAACCGCCTTCTCTCTGCGGCCTCCGAGTTTTCGCCTCTCGTAAAGGTGAATGGATCGCTTCTCTCGAGTACAAGGTACAGTTCGGATACAAGTTATTGCTGGCTATCGATACCGAGCTGGAATCGTATTCCAGCCAATATATGCAAATCTCGTGCACGATTCGAAACAAAATTTATATTTTTGGTTATATATATTAGCTATGGAGCTGTCGTCATCACAACGAGAAACGAGGGCATGCTTAAATACACAATTGATGCACGCAAACGAGAGCGCGCGACGATGGCCTTTCGTGACGGCTATAATATTTGGGCTATCGATCGCGAGTAAAACGCGAGTTTACTTTAGTTAACGAATCGCAGACACGCCTAACAGTAAAATAATTATATAATAATCTGTTAGATAATATTACGATAAAAACGCATAATTGTAATTAGCAAAAATACGCAAGTTTAAAAAATTAAATCAGCATTTAAAAGTGTTCTGAAAAGTTTTATTCAAAATAGAATTGTATATAAGTTATTTAATTTTACAATCTTTTATTACCTTATTTTTTCAGTTTTCATTACTAAATCTTACAATACTTACTTTATATTAATTTTTAAAATTTTAAAATAATGAAGAGTTAAAGAAAAGAACTTATTTTTATATTTTTTATATCTGCCAAAAAATTTTATGAGCAAACCATCTGTGGGCCAATGCACATCGTAAGTCGAATGATCAATCCGTATGATGCCATGCATCAATCTGTATCAATGTATATTTCACTTGTATTTGAACGAAAGAATAAATGAAAGTACGATTCGATTAGCTAAATTGATAAATGTGAATTGATTTTTTCTTCCTTTCAACTCGAAGCGATATGTTTCTCGTTGAAGTCCTTCGAAAATGGCATGCAAATTTTTGAAACAAACAACTCAGAGTAACTCGCAATTTCTTTTTGCAAAAGGAAGGATCACCGAGTCAATTTTGTTCTGCACGGATTACCGACTCACCTCATTAATTCACATCGCAACATAGTGCGCGACACACGGTAGAAATAAACGATCGCAAACGAAGTTTACATGTTGGTGCAGATAAGACGAGTGATCGGGAATGTGTGACCATCGTCCACAAAAATCCGTAACAAGCCGCACATCAGGTTACTAAAATATACCTCAAGGATATCAAGATACACTAACAACTACGGCGTGAAAATTAAAAGGTTTGGAAAAAAAAGCGGGATTAATTAAATTTCATTAAGTCCTTTCGCAATCCCGATCGAAGGTAGAAAGGGCGATTAATAATCGGCGACTCGTGAACCAAAGCAATTTTTTTTTTAAAGAGGAAAATAAATCTCTCGGAGTTCTTTCGATTTCCGTCTAAACAAAGCTATGTATTCTTGCAAAAGACGACCAGAATTCTCCTCAGTCTCGTCTTTATCAAGACTTTCAGGTATAAATAGAACGCAGGCAGAATGCGCATGAAAGCGTCGTAAGTATAGCACGTAGCAAAAGGACGCGTTTGACTATTTCGATGCAGTCGTCTCTTTATTGGTTGTCAGACGAACGGATGTAAAAGCGTAAAACGCTATAGATAATGTCGCCGATATTCCAAATTCCATAAATGCCGCGCGAGGGCTTAAATGGGTGGTCTTGGAAAGGACGAAGAATTTTTCAAGAAAAATTTTAACGCCGAGATTCAAACGACAACATAAATAATTTATTTTACAGAGAACATAAGTCACATATACGCATCCGTATAGAGTTGAGTTAATCCTTGAGTATTGCGGCGAATGTTATAGTTAAAATGCAAGTCATTTTAACAAGATCAATTGGTAGATATGGACATTGGTAGATAGAAAAGGAATACATGCAAATTGCAGTTTTATTTGTCAGGAGTGAAGAAATATTCTCATAAAGATTTTGTTGCTTCGATACAACTTGCTTACTTATTTTCTAATTTAAATTCTAATGATTCGAACAAAACAGTTTAGATTATTCATCTTATTAATAGTAAAATATATATAAAAGCCTTGAGCGTGCCTTTGTGAAAACGAATCTAATTTAGCTCGCCATTTATATTCTTGGGAAAAATCACGTCAAATTAAGTTGAACGAGATTCAACGAGAAATGTTGCGAACAAAAAAAAAGAAAGAGCGAAAGAAGTTTCAAAGATAATCGAAGTTCCGGAGGATCATTGGAACGAATTCGAGACTTCTTTTCGCTCGTGCAATATACACAAATGTTGAAACTACGGAGAAACGGGGACGAAGCACCGGGGAGTGACTGCTACATTTTATGCAAGATCGCACTTCTCGAAGGATTTTTCTTTCCCCCGAAGTTTCGAAGAAGCACGGACATTCGAGAATGCAGTTAACTGCAGAAAAGGGCGCATCCTTCGCGCAATAGGATTCAATTTGAAATTCTAATTCGCCCCGACGTCGTCCCGATAGAATTTTAAGCGAGAAAACTCGCGGCGAGATGACTCGCGGCGCGAGAAGATTGGAGTCGAGAGATAAATAAGTAAGTAGATGCCAAGCGCGGGAGAAAGAGCTTAGAATCCAAACAGGATTCTAAGATTCGTAAGCAGGAAATTACATTTATCCGCGGATCGTATCGGCGGGCGATATATATACGCGATAATAAAAGAGACAGGTATGAGGATGAGGTGGGGGAGAGGGGGAAAGACATTGGCAATAAAGATAGCGATTTTCTCAGGCAGGGATTGATGTAATTCCATAGTCTCGGGATGAAAAGCGGGGTAATAACGGATGCGCGCGTAAATCGATGCGCCCCTTTTATCGTTAATAACGTACACCCCCCTCGACTGGGCGGAGGCGGGAGGGGGAGAGTGGAGGCTGAGAAACGCCGAAGTCGAGAATGGGTGGGAAAGACGGGAAGAGTAAAGGGTGCCACTACGCGAAATCCTTCCCGCGGCGCGTCGCATAAATTCGCGTATATCGCGCGGATAGAATCAGAACTATATTTGCGTCGCGAGCGAACGACGAGCGGAGCCGCTCTCTTCGCGCTTTAATGGAGATTTAAATCACCTGGACGAAATTCACGCGTTTGTCACCGCGTCTCCATGTAGAACTCGAATGTCACTCTAAATGGATGGATGGAAAAAGCGGCCGGGAGGAGAGAAAGAGAACTGCAGGCGATTATTCGAATCCATCGATCTCTCGCGTATACATATATCGTGCGCGCGCGAGAGAGAGAGAGAGAGAGAGAGAAAGAAAAAAAAACAAATTCGCGTTTCGCAATCGCGCCGAAAACGAACGAACGTTCGCCACGCGGTGGAAGAACGAATAAAAAACCGATTCGCCTGTTCGCAATCGATTTCGAGCAGGTGCACTTTGGCAGCCGAACGCGTCGCGTTCTACGGCCACGCGATGCATTCCACGGTGCGATCGTAAATACAGATGATTATCGCGGACGGCGAATTGGAATTTTTCCGAGAAATACCGCCCCCAAGAGCGGCGGAATAGCAAAAATATATTACGAATTCAATGAACGTTAAGCTGGCGATCAATATTCAAATAAAGGCAAAGAAATAAATTTCGAGATAAGTATATCGTAAAGATGCTATAAAAACGCTGTAAATGCGTTGTCGTCGTGTTCGTTAATCGATATAAACTAACGTTGTGTGTCAATATTGTCTCATTCGGCGCAATTGAATTAGTTAACACGCAGAAAAATTTTTGTGAAAATTTTTCTACGTGTGCTCATTAAATTCTCATAAACAACGTTATCATTTCTAGCGTGGCATTCACAGATTTTAATACCTTAATCTATTTATTATTCTATGTATGTAGAATATAGAGAGAAATGTTCTATGATTTTGAAATAAATCTTTTTAAAAGATTTTAATACCTGAATGTAATACTCGACAGAATAATAAATTAAGACTTATTTCACAATCATAAAATTATTATAAAGTAATATCCTATATAAAGTAATAAATAAAAGTATATATTTCAAAATATTACAGAATGTTCTTTTGCCTGTGTTTTAGCAACTAAAAATAATTCCTTATACTCGACAAAAGTATCGAGAAGTATCATTAATCTTGTGACATCTTAATTTTCAATATATTGTCTATAATTATTAGATATATTATTGATATAAATCTTAATGATTAAATAATTTAAGTCCAAGTATGGAAACTTCAAAATAAAATTCGTTTAAAAATCCACTTACAATCGTGAATTATTCGAGGATTATAATCAAAATTTTACAGCTCTTTCAGCGAGAAAGAACCGATTTCAAATCGGTTCCAGAATGAGAAGAACATTCGATACTTCGTGACACACTGCGCCAACAGCATCGCCCTTTCCTTCGGAGCGATTTAAATGCGTTGCGTTATCACTCAGTCGCGGAGGTTTAAAGCGTTAAAGCGACAACGCGAGACGTTCGTTCTCGCGTTGCGGAAACGCACGGTACTAATTAATCTAAAGGTCCGCGCTTGTGAGCGCGAGGAGGAGGCACACGGCCGGCGGGCCGATTTGTATGTGCAGTATATATCGGTCGTTACGTACCTCCGACAGGGCGTCCTCCATCATATCGCTCGTGTCTCTCATGACTCCCGATGGAAACTAGCACCGACAACAATCACTCAACGCCCACGTTCTCCACCGCTCCTCCGCGTGCGGTTCTCCTTTTCCCCTCTATCTGTCTTCTTACTTTCCTCTCTCACTCCGCCTCCGCTTACTCCGTTTCCCGACGCGTTTACTGTCGTTATACCGATGCGCGCGCGCTCCTTCTCTCTCTCTCTCTCTCTTTCTCTTCCTCCTCCGGGGTCTCTCCTCGCCTTTCTCGAGAGAGAGAGAACGCAAGATCCGCGAAGGTATCGGCTAGTACGCGAGAACAAGAAGGCACGATGACAAGTGCTCGCGGCCGTTTACTCCAGCAGCACCGAGGAGGAATTCCGTGACGTCACGAGCAACACATTTCCTCCATCGCCAGCGGGCGGACGGTCTCGCGCGGTACGCCGCCGCTTGGATTACGTGCCGCTACTGCACGGCTTTTGACGGATCGATCGTATCGCGACGTGTCGCTCTCCTGAGGCCGCTCGCGCCTCTCCGTCTCCTCCTCTCGCACCGCCGTCCTCACCGTCGCCGTCGCCGTCGTCGCGGATCCCTCCCTCCGAAATGTGACCAGGCCGCGAATACACGCGTATATATGTATATATATATATATATGTTATGTATATATCGCGGATTCACGCGCAAGACGCTCGTCGCGATTCTATACCGACACGGCGCGGCGCGCGACGTACGCGCACGCTGCACTCGGCGCGTCACGGCGCCGTGGCGGATCTCTCGGGCTCGCGCTCTGATCGCGCTCTACGCGCCTCTCTACGCGCCGCGACGACGCGCGCTCCCGTTTTTCCCCTCCCTCCCACCCCCCCCGAGAGAGAGACCTTCGACGGGTACCGTGCTTCTGGTACCGCTCACCACGCGCTACTACCCGCGGTAGAAGCTCCGCGACCCATCGGAGTCCGCGACTTCGGAGACACTGATCCGCCAGCTGCCGCCGTGCTCGCGCGCTGGCAGGTAATGCCGAGTGCTGCAGGTCGAGACCCTCCTGCCAGAAGGCAGATCTGCTGCCACCATGACAGTCCCCGGCGCACGCTCGCTCGCTCTTCCTCTCTGTCTCTCGACCGCCGCCACCGCGACGACCCTCTTCCTTTACTCGCGCCTTCTCTCTCCCGCCGAGCGTCCAAGGGTATACCTCGATTCATCCGATTCCCTCGCACTCACTCGTACAGCGTTAAACTGAACGCTCGAGTGTCGGAAATCGTAGGCTTCCTTTGGATAATTCTTTGCAATTTTAAACATCTCGCGTCACGCGATCGCCGAAAGCCCAGAAGAAATCCTTATTGAGCTAATTAATTCAAAAATACATTTCTAACTTAGAGAAATTAATAATCAACATTTTTACTCTTCTATATTATTTTTCAAAAAAATTAAATCTCTTATTTATTACATACTATCTTATCCTACACGGAATTTTTTTTTTAATTTACCCTGCAAATCATGTTAATTGTGGGACAATATAGTATTTAGGCAAATTTTACTGTGCACTACAATAATATTTTACAGTAAAATTTATTGTAGTGCACAGTAAAATTTGCCTAAATACTATATTGTCCCACAATTAACATGATTTGCAGGGTAAATTTAAAAAAAATTCTCTCCGCGTATAAATATCTCTATTTATCTTATCTTTTTTTTTACGTTTATCTTATTCTATATTTTTTCGTCACTTTCGACAACGAATTTTAATAATATAATCAAATAATATACACAACGCAAACTTCATTCGCTTTTAGATTTCTAAAATTTGAATCGTCAAGAGACTTGTTTATTTTTTCTTCATTTCCTAATATAAATTTTAAACCCGAGGAAAATAATAAAAAGTCAAAAGTCTGGAAATAGAAAGGCTATTGCATTGCTATATTTAGCTCTTCGGAATAAGTGATCTTCATACTTCAAGTAATTTTCATACTTGTCTCCTGTCGACCGCACTGCGCAAGACGGGGGCATTGCGATCCCGGCGCCGTCTCTCTCCGTTCAACTTCCACTCACGCGCTCCGTTCATCTCCGCCACGCGCGTTCATCTCTCCCTTTCCTTCCTTCCACGTCCTCTTTCACGCTCGCGCGACCGCGCGACTTCGCGGCACAGCTGCCTCCCGGTCGCCCTCCGCGCCAGACTTCCTTGCCAGACGTCGCGCCGCGGCCATCGCTTTCTCGCTGCAGCCTCCTTCATTGTCGTCGCGACGCTCGCGGAACATCCGGCAAATCGCATGCATGTAATGCGTAACGGAGAAGCACGCGATTCATCGAAATTCCCCGAGATTTGCCATACTAATGCCATACTAAATCCCATTCATAAATCAGTGAGAAATGATAAATTAAAATGTTTATATCTGCAGCGTGAGAAATTTTTGCATCTGAAATTTTTTTTCTTTACTTCATCTTCTTCCGAATCTGCATGTTTTGCATATATAAACGGAGGATGAGTGCAAAACTGTAACGAGCAGACTGAATCTTTCAACTATCTTTTAATTTAAAGTTTTTCTTCTTTTTATCTGATTAACCTTCTTCACTTTCCTGAATCGTGTAATTTGAAAAAAAAATTATTTCGTTAACTTGCTTCTATAAATATTAATACAGTATATACTATGAGTATATAATATACCATACACTTGATTATATATATCTCAATTTGCATTCTCTTAAAATAAAGAACAACACATGTAGTAAAGGCGATATTAAGATAATAATTACCGATTAATTTCATTTTGCATCGTAAATTTTATCAAGGCATTGTCAGAGTTGTCAGTGCCTTAATACCACGACTCACCGAAAATCCTTGTCGTCTCTTCTACGGCACTAAAATCCGATAACGCATATTTACGCGCGTGGCGCGTCTCGTGTTATGTAAATCGCAAGAGATATGCAGATCGACACGGGCATTATCACGTTGCGCGCGACGTAATGAATGTTAATTGCCCGAAAGCGCGTTGCGCTTGATCCTCGTCACTTTAATGCTTAACGTGGTGATACGACGCTCCGAATTTGAATTTGCACCTGTCTAAAAGATGTCGTCCAATCCTGATACATTTTCGTTGAAATAAGCGTAAGCCTTCTGTCTCATGTAAAAATCATTTTTTAATTGATCGGTCTTATTAATATAAATATTAATATTATTAATGTTAATATAAGTATTGTAATATAAAATGTATTATATAACACAATAATTCCGATATGTTATAAAAAGTAATATATATACATATCGTATGTCGTAAGAATGAAATATCAGAGAAATATAAATACTTATATTGAATAATATAAATATAATAGTGGCATAGTTTCGAGTTTACTTCAATCATTACCGAGCATCTTTTCTTTCTTTCGTCGCTAAAAACGAGCGTACCTTGCCGGTATTACAAAGCGGTTCGCGCATTCTGGTCGAGGGCAGGAACACGGACGAACAGCTGCTATTTCACCTGTTCGATACATTATTTAAATGCTTCATCTGCCTCGATCTCGAGATACCGCAAGATAAGCGACCGGCGTTTCCTGTTCTCTTACTGCTATCACGCGAGATCTTAACAAATCTTTTTTAAGTGTAGAAATGTAAATCCATCTCAGTTTTGACTTATTGAATTTTTTAATGATTATACGAGAAATTGAATACAAAGTCGAAAAAAAATAATATAGTAGTATGAAACAAAAAATTCTTATATTTTATTTAAAAATATTGTATAAAATATTTCATTTCTGTGTTAATCTAAAAAACTTGATTCTACACTTTATTCTAAATCTACGATTTCTACTTTACAATGATGATTCGTCTCTCGGTTCCAATAAATATGGGACTCATCTTTGCTACGTATTTTATAAAGTGATCTATGTCGAGTGTTCCGATTTTATGGTTACGACCTTTATCTTTAAAAATGTTAAAGCCGTTTCCGCCATTCATCAAGAAATTTGCTACAACTATTCTGTACCATTGATCATCCACTAAATTTTCGAATCTCGGATACTCGCAAGCCTGGCATCTGTCGATACGCCAAGAGAAATTAAAATCACCATTAATTTTCAATAGCGTTGACGTAACATAAAATAATGATATTGAATTTCGTATTTCAACTTTGAAACAAAACAAATTAAAATTCTAGCAATAAAAATTTTACCTAATCTTAACGTCGACCAAAGTTCGAGTGTTCTTGACTTTCTTGTAAGTAATTTTTAGTCCGGACCAGACTAGTAATTCTTCCTTTTTTAAAATCTGCAAAGTAAAAGAAAGTAAATTAACTTTATTTCATTGTTCAATTTATTTTTCTAACTCAGTACTCTTGCAAAGAAATATTGTTGATACAAATTTCCGTTTAAACGTTGTCATATATAATGCTATTTTCTGACGCTCGATTTTATCGTATAATTTATTTTAAATTAAGACAAACAATATATTTCATGTTTTTATATTGAGTCTCTAAAATTCTCATTTCTTTTTCTTTAATAAATAATCGAAGAGATATAGCGAGAAATTTAACTAACTTCTCTAATGGACTCTCCAGTTAGTTCAACAGTATCCCAAGTGTTTTCGAAGGGCTGAACCATCATCAGGTCACCGTAGGTAATCTCAGACTCCTCAAGAGAAGTTCGAATTCCTCCTGAATTCGTGCAGGCCACTGCTGCATATGTCCAATGCGTTTTATTTTCTGCATCATTGACAAACTAAAATTAAGACAGTTTCCTTAACTTAATTATATTTAAATTTCGATTAAAGATATAGAATAGGTATTGCAAAGAGCGCCTTCCGCACCGCATCCACCATGGCGTCGGTTATAAGATTTCCCATGTTGCACTCTTTGTTGCGACAATTATGTTCAAGTAAGACTCTCGTACTGCCGATTTTTTTTAACGCCGTTTCATCTACTACTTTCTTCCATGGCTTCAAAGCTTCCAAGATCTTCGGATCTACAAATATTTCAGTTATTATTTTAAAAAGTATTTTAAGAATTATGTTGCATTTATTATGCTATAAATAATAATTTAATTTTTAAAATGTCAAAGACTTACCTTCTTCGATGGAATGATCTAAAAGAAGTGGGTTTCCGTCCCAATCGACGACCTCGCCTTGATCGTCAAACCAGACCGTCAGATTACCTAAATATCTTGAAAAAAAATAAAAATTTTAAAAATAAAAAGTTTTATCATATGTACTGCACATGCGATGATAATATGAATAATACAATCTCTAAACACAGATTCTTTCGATGAATTTGCAATAAATTCCGTTAACTTATAGCAAAGAAAACAAATTGCGAGAAATTCCGTTAACTTATAGCAAAGAAAACAAATTAGTCAGACCTCGACTTCATGACATCAGATAGCAATTGACCTTCTTTAATGACTCTCTTACTGTAGCCTCATATCGGTTGAATAGCGTACTTTGTATAAGCAGCTGCCTGAACGATGAGGACTGTTCTGTCTGTCTCATTCTGCTTTATGACCACGGGATATTCGTCCTCTGGTGTATCGATAAAGGGCGGAGGTCCTGCAATATAATAAAAAAAATTAATGACGTATTTAATTTAGCATTAGTTTATATTATTGATCCAATCTATATTAATCTTGTTTAGTGATAAGTTTAATAGTTTACATATATATCTATCCTCAATAAAAAAAAATTATATAAATTTAATTCATATATTTGGTCCATATAAAAAATTTTATTTTCAGACCGCTATAGAGAAATGTATGCGAGTGACCGCCGACGATTACATCGATTAAAGGACATTTCGCAGCCATGATCCTGTCCACATCCAATCCACAGTGGCTTAAAACTATAATAATGTTTATTCCCTTTTCCTTCAGTCGCTTGGCTTCATCGTTGACTGTCTCTACTTCATCCAAAAACTTCAATTTCTCTGTACTCGAAAGTAACTAATGGAAAAATCAAATATTATATTTCGATAAAATCGTCTTGTGAGAGAAAATCTTGTAAGAGTATTTTGTAAATGTATGTATAAATTGATAAAAAAATCACAATCATATTAAATTAAATAGAATATACATTTCTACTTATTTATAAAAAAAATGTAATTGATTACTCACGTTCGTAGTCGATGCAATGACACCAATAACGCCAATCTTTGTACCGTTTCTCTCAATAATTGTGCTATTCTTATATAAGCCCTAGAATGTAATCATATAAAATTAATCTGTACACTTATAAATAAATAAATAGAGATTATGAACCTGTATAGTTGGCTCCTCACTGTCATCGATATTTGTTACTACAACTGGCGCATTGACATTTTTAAGAAAGGGAACAACGCCCTCGATTTTATTATCGAATTCATGATTGCCGATCGTCTGTGAAAATATTATAAAAGGTATTATTATATCATAAATGTAAAAAATTAAATTTTTCGGTTACTTATTAAATTTAATCGTGCTGACATTTAATCTTGTAGACATTTTAGATTTCACTTATATTTTTTCTAATCTTTATTTTTATATGTATATGTACAAATTCTGTTTTATATGTATACATACTTAATAAAAAGTATTATATCTACGCGTAATCCTTTGTATATAATTACTTACCATAGCATCGTGTGGCAACATATTCATGAAGAAGGCAGTGGCGTTCCAACGATGAATATTATACCAGAGAGTCCCCTGAAAGTGATCACCAGCATTCAGGAAAATCGCATTTGGCCGTTCCTCCACAAGCTGATTCACTGCGGTGTAAACCCTGGCAAAACCTCCTACGCAATCTTTTTCGTGGTTCTCTCGGCAGGTTCCAGAGTACGGGCTCGTCTGTTCGAATCTGTTTCAACATAATTTCGATTTTTTTTTCAAAAGTCACGCTTTGTCGCTCTAACGAACAATACGAACACAAAAGGCTACTCAAAAGTCAAACGACGGGCAAGAAAAGTAGGCTAAGGCTACGTCATCGGAATTATTACAATAACTTTATCCTTGACCTCGAAAATGATCTACGAATCCAGAATTACAACCAATTTTGACACTAACTGCGCTCGCGATGTCAAGTTTTCTTGACGATTGCTAAGAATTAATATATTCGAACACATACTGATCAGTAATTTCTTTGCAAACGTTCGACAGCAAATTTGTATAAAGAGACTGTGTTTAGTTCTTAATAATAAGATATTCTATGCTATGCGAATTGGAGGCGAATATTAAATATGAATTTAACAAATTTACTCACCTGGCATGAAAGTCGTTTAAATGAATTATCGATAACTCGAACAGGTCCGTTCTACCGGGATAAAAGAGTCCGCGTCCGGTGAATCCCAAACAAATTTGGAACAACAATGGGACTAACGGTAGCGCGTGCATGTTGCACCTGTCGGGAAAGATATTATTAAGTAATCTGTAAGAAATTGCTGGTTTTTTCTTCCTCAAATATGTAACTAAATGCGATGAGATTGAAAAAAATTGTACCAAACTAATCTATTATGTCTTCTTACAGCATATTTAAATTTAATCAGGAAACTTTGTCGCACTTTCAAAACGAAATAGACGAAACTTAAAAGCACACTTTATAAAATTCCTACTGAAATGCCTCTTATAGCGACACGTTACGACTGCGCGTTCAATTCTTTGTCAACACGGAAATGATAATTACCCTCTTTTTTTACAACGCGCCGTGTGCGTTGTTTGAAAGATAATTACGAAGGTGGATAGTGTAGAATTACGCAACGTCGAAGATGAAATAACTTTGTTTTAAGCGGGTCTCTATCGATACATTGTTGCAATAATTCATTTATTTTTAAAGCAATAAATAATATCTTTCAACTATCATTCGCAGTCATGTTATTCTCTAAGGAAAAAAACTTGCAGATATTGAAATAAATAGATTCCCAACAATCCCCAACAAATTCCTACATAATAATATATATGTAACAAACTTTTTCATTAAATTTATATTCCGCTGTAATTTTGTATGTGAGTCTTAAGACTGGCTATTCCTATTAGATCTATCTATTTCAATATCTGCAAGTTTTTTTTCTAGAATGATGCCTCACCATGAAGCGATTTCGTGAGAAAGAAGTTCGCGAGGCGAGTCTTATCCGGTATCAGAATGCATTTAAGTCACTCGTGCACTCGCGCGACCATTAATATGCAGCATAAAAAACGCAACTTTTTGCTTTTCCACTCCCACTAATTATAACGCGAACAGGTACATAAAACAGATGTTACGAGTTCGCGACGTCAACAAAGATGAAATAATGCAGCGAAATAAAAAAAAAATAATGCAAAGTTAAGGTGGTTTTATCGCTCAATGCTAACTCAATAGTGTGACGTTGTCACATAAACGTCACACAGTCACATATGTACAGTCTATGCGAAATGTTTTTATTAAATTACACTTGTTTTTATTGAATTATTAGTCGTATGGAGGGACTAATTTTTGACTGGGACTCGCTCGATAAAACCACCTTAACTGATGCAAACATTAAGAAAAGAAATGGAAATTGACAAAATGTAAATAGCCTACTGGCGCGATAAACAATGCGTCATACATAATCACTTACAGCAATTACTTTTTGCGGTGATAGTTAGTTATCTTCAGGTAAAGAACCGTACAATTTACAGCAGATAACTAAAAGTTACGAAACGAACGGATAACGCTACGTGAGCGCGATACGTGGCCAAATTATAATGCACGTTTGATAATGAATGTGAGTCACTTTTGTCTCTAAGCCAGCAATTGCGCGTGTCGAATATTCGTAGAGAACTGTGTCCCTTATGTTCAATGCAGTGTCGTCGTTTGTCCCGTGAAAGAATGTTGATTATCGCGGGTCCCCTACCTCACGAGTGATTACAAATATTTCCAGCTCCTGTTGCGATATCTAAAATATACATTTACGAATTTCGATATATCTACAGATAATGAGATATTAAATCCCTTTGTGAGTATAAGTTTATATAACGAAGTGATTTCGTGTTAACTAGATAAACTAATACATTAGTATACATTATAGTCATATAATTTCGATAAGATATAAAGTTGTACGTTGTTAAATTATTAAACATTGCATTTATAGGTACACAAAATTCTATGTAACTCGCGCAATCATAGGAAATGTACATAGATTAATTTTCATAAAATGTTTAAATAAATTAATGCTCTCGATATCCTTTGTTCGATATAATTTATGATAACATGTGATCGTGATTGCTACGTGTAATTTCATATGTTGTTGATGCAAATTATGGTAACCAAACTGTATCTTTAATATACTGATTTTAAACAAAAATAATATAATTATTTGTTAAAAAATTAAAATCTAAATTAAATAAAGAGGAGAAATTAAATTATTAAATTATTTAAATAGAAACATACGTATGTTTCAAGAATATCTGGTTAACTTTTCTGGAATCTGTAATAAGGTTTTTTAATGTCAATAAATTTTAAATAAAAAATAATTAATAAATTTAATTTATAACTAAGGTTCTTTAATACCAATAAATAATTTATTTTTTTTGCAAAAGAGAAATCTAGTTTCATAATGTTGATTGTAATTCCTAATGGAATAGAAAAATTCAGAAGCTATAGAATATAAAAATAAATTCCATTATCATCATTTTGCATAAAGAGATGGATAGAATTGCAAAAAATACATAACAATTCCAATCCGGAAAACCAATACGTCTTGCTACTAGTCTAATTATCTATACTAATTTATGCTCCATTGAAAAATGCACTGGCAATGACAAAAGTTTCCGCAAGGTTGAAATTTATAAAAAAAAAGAGAAGGGAAAATTAATGCTTAATTAGCTCGAATTAATTAGCACGCGGTCATGTTATTCCTATGTCGATATTGATAAGAGGTATTATATAGCAGCATTATCGTATATGACGATGATATGCGCCTATCTCTCTGCGTTCTCACGTGGTACGTTCCGGCTTAAATAAAATTAGAATCGCTCGTATTACGCAAACGTGATCATAATGCGTGACGAAAACAGTTGTAAGGTCTGCCAGTAAATAAATTGCCTCGCGTCATGTCAATTTATGATACGCACGATTATTTATTTTTGACGAGCAAGACACGTAACGTGGACAAATGGGAGAGCGAATGGGCAAGCACAACAGATGGGAAAGGACACGAGACTGCTGAATAACGTTGCCAGCACGACCTCCTCCACCCCCCCCCCCTCTCTGACAGAAAGATAATTTCGTTTCGTTCTATATATTTTGTACGGCAACGGGTCAATGGGCGGCACACAACCGGTACAAATTATGTTATCCAAAAAAGTGTATCAAGATTTTTCATATCATTCTAAGACTCTCGAGGATACGATAGTAAATTTTTGTGTGCCCAAGCGGGCAGCTTACTTGATTCGAAAACCATTACTCATCGTCAATAATATAATAATAATTAACTCCGTTGCTATAAAACGAAAGAATCAGCAATTTAAATCTGAAAAGATGTCAAGTCTAGAAAAAAATGATTATGTAATCCATGACATTTGCGTTAATTTAAATGTTATATTTATAGAAACACGTAATGTTTAGAATAAAATTAATTGTTGCCTATTGATATTTTAAAAAGTCCCTAAAAATTTATGAGAATTAAAGTATCTAAAAAAAATTACAAGCAGATAAAAATGAAAGCTTTGATAACATAATATCCTATTTCAAAAGCATGATCTGCGTATGATATACTTATCATTCAAATTTCCAGATTAATTAATATTTCTTATCGTTAATTAAGTCGCCAATTAGCCGATCGAAAATTAAGTAAGAATGATAAAAAATTTCATGAGACAGAGATGATATAGAGAAATTTTTTAAGGTATGGAAAATATTTAATACAAAATACATGTATTACGTCAATATTTTCGTGTCTGCGACAATTAATTAACATCTCTGTCACAATCAAATGATACAGCATTTCTAGATTTCAATTTCAAGGCAAGCTGATTCGTAAATATACGTCGCTATTAATATTGATACAAGTTGTTCAAACAGAGTGTTATTACGATAAGATACCATTTAACAAATTAATATTTTGTAAAAACGAATCATATGATTTTTTTTATCGAATACTCCTTTATTTTTCTTGCATTTAGCTTACTTCTGATATCTACTAATAGATTATCGTTTTAGGTCAGAACGTAAAAATATCATTGCTCAATAAAACACTTTTAAATTTGTACGCGATAAGAACAAAATCAATAAATCCTTTTGATACCACTAAAACACTTCCAATACTAAATAAAAAAAGAATATCGACTATTATATTGAAAACAACGCTGTAATCGTACTAGGATTTTTTATGGTTCAAATTTTTTTCTGCAAAATTCATACATACAGATCACTTTATGTGCAATATTAATAAAATAAAAAATATAATTGAAGTATATAACGCATGTATAAAACAATGAATTCAAATTTTAAAATATATGATAATGGCAACACAAGCGTATCTTTCAATCCAATCTTCAGTCTGCAGACTGAAAACCTTTTGAAAAAAAAAAAAAAATGAACAAGCTTACAATAGATGCTGCACGGTTCAAACAGGAACTCCAGCAGAGACTTTGAAAAGAAGTCCGGTGGGGCCCGCACGACGACATCGATATTCAGTCGACGTCGGTCGCTCGAGAAAATCGGCTCGCGCCTCTCGTCGCTCACACAAAACCATCGAGATAATGTGAAAGAGCGATTAATACTCGTGTATTCTCGTACGTTCTTCGGCTATACATTAATATTTAACAGTGCCTTTCGCAATTAAAGTGATAGTCACCGTCGCGCATCAGCTCGCGGCCGCGTATTGTTCCTTCGTTTCTTTTTTCGTTCGAGTTCAATCGTGGAAATTATACGAAACCATTGTTCTCTAAAAAAAAATCTGCGACAGCTCCGATTAATACTTTCCGTGATTTCGATACCGATGCAATCGTTTCGCAAAGTTCGACTTTACGATACATCGCTTTCTCGAAAGTTGCGCTACATTGCACGTGTGTGTACACGTGTGCAGATGAACATTACTTAGCGCACAGTAATTTGCACGGAGTCACATACCGTCGTTCACGGCCAGAGCGTGATGTTATTCAACCTGTGACTCGTTCTTTGTATTACATTTAAGATATATTGCACGAGGTATTGTGAGGGTGTTTCTCTATAATAAGTGACCATATTTTAAAAGAGTATTCCACTTATATTATGCTAATCCAAAAATGTCATGTAAACATATGTTTGCTTTAGTGCCGAGTGACAATCCTTCGCAGTTTCGCTTTTCAAAGAAAATGTTCGAAATAGACATTCATGAATTCTAAATAACGTCAGTCAGTTAATCAATAACAGATTACTCTGCTATTTCTATTCATCGCTCATATAATGAAACGTCTGCTATATATAAAACATCTTTTAAACTGACGATATGTTGTAACGTTGAAACTAATCGCAATACGAAGCGTCAGCGTTCAAATGAATTACCGTATTGTAGAATTATATTTACTGCTTCGGAATATACACAAATATCTTTTTTTTGTTTCAAAGCATTTTTACATGTTACATGAAAAATATCTTTTAATCGGTGTAACGACTCGATACATTTACAACTTTTTATTTTATATGCATTTTGTATATAAAATAAAATCATATAAATAAAATATGATCATATAAATAATACAATGCAATTGTCATTTCATTATGTACAATATCTTACAATTTATGTAATTCCATTAATACAGATAAACTGTACATTTTTGTATTCTGGTTTCCTAAAAATAAGAATTCAAAAATTTTGTGTTTGTAATTTCCTAGATAATTAATGCCATTTTAATAGAACTATGTCGTAAATGTCGAAAAAAAATTCCAATTTCGTCACCTTTTTCCGTAAATTAGGTAGGCACGTTGCCAATTATTAAATCGAATTGATTATTACCTGACGTTTAACGGCCTTAGACTTTACGACAACTTTACGAACCGTTGCAATTCTTGGCAAGTTCTAATGTGTTTTGCAATAGATGCTAACAGCCAATAAATTTAGAATTCTCGTCTTTTATAAATGCAATATGCAAAAGGTGAAATAAAAAACTTGTATCTATAACTGCCCCTTCTCTACTTCTAAATGCAATCATAAAAAATTAAAAAAAAATCTCATTGTTGTAAAATACAATTTATGCCCTAAAGCCAATCAACTTGTACCATGAAATATATGAAATAAACTTTGAAACATTTTATGTTTTCCCAGATGTCATACAGATCAGGAAATTCAATGTGATAATTCGACGTGAGGCGAAATCGAAGCGCTAGTGTGGCTGGCAGCCAAGAACGTGCCCTATCGACATTGCATACAAAAAAAAAAGATAATAAAAAAGAAAGTGGAAGAGCTTATATAATCCGCATTATAACGAGTGGAATCAGTAACAATAGAAGATGTCGATTACTTCGTTCGTAAATTGCTGCATTGCCGTGCTGCTACTCTTACTCACGAACGAAACCTTCGCAAATCCCACTTTACGGAAGGATGAAGAATTCACTATCAGAATCGTTCACACGAATGACATGCACGCGAGGTGATCTTATTTTTCACTATTAGAATAAATCTTCTCAGTCCTTCTACTCTTGTCAGAGCATGATGCTCACTCATCGTATTTCTGCGATGTGCGCTATTTGCAATTTTACGCAGATATACGGGACCTATAGTTTAACGCCGGTTTCGAACGGCCTTAACTAATTAGAGGTCTCATGACAAGCTATATTCTCGATCGTTTGCCATTGGCCTTCCGAGAAGTAACGATCGAATAATAAACCGATGTTTCTGATCGGATTTGAACCCGGATCAGAAAGTACTTCGGCACAGAAAGTATAACTCTCTGCGCGACACAATTGCTTGCTATTAAAATAAATGAATATTATTTAAAATATTTCTCTTTCGCATCGCAAAACAAAATAAAATAAAATTATACGACAAGTATAATATTTAATTATACAAGTTTGATTGGGTTTCAAGGAAATTATTTGTTTTCTTGAAATAATTCCATTACTTAAGTTATGTTTGCGCTTAATGTATAGTTCGTGTATTACAATTCAATTCTATATCCACGCTAACGACAATTATCACCACCGAGCTAATCACAAATGTTAAGATAGTTAATTATCTTCCACACCCATGTGTCAGACGCGTGGTGTACGAGACGATTTCCTGGTTTCTCTTTGACGTCATAATTTATGTAATTAAATCATCCAGTGTCACATTTCCTTGAGAGATTTCCCTTGTAATATTTTTAGATTCGAGGAGACGTCGCAATTGTCGACGGCGTGTACGTCGGCGGACTCCAAAGCCGGGAAATGTTACGGAGGTTTTGCCAGAATCGCCACTCTGGTCCGCCAAGCGAAATCGGAATCGCCTTCGACGATCTTTCTGAATGCCGGCGACACGTATCAAGGAACCGCGTGGTACAACTGGTACAAGTGGAAGGCGGTCACTTGGTTCATGAACCTCTTGGCGCCGGACGCTATAGTAAATACCATCGACTTCTATAAACAAGATTTCGAAAACTACAAAAATATGTTAAAAAGCTAAAAATTAGTTGCTAGTTTATTTATTATTATAATTAAATTTTAAATATAGAATTTCCCTAATGCTCTAAATATTGCAATTCAGACTATAAAATAATTATAAATAAATATAAATGATACTTATTTAAAAAAAGTTCATTTAAAAAATATTTTTTTGAAAGAAATTCATGAGGCAAATCACAAAATTTAAAATAAAGTAAAATATTTTCTCGTGTTTATTGCATTCCATTATGAATTTATTTTCTGACAGAGCTTGGGCAACCACGAGTTCGACGACGGTGTCAACGGTTTGATACCGTTTATACAAAATGCCTCATATCCCATCGTGACGGCGAATCTGGATCTCAGCGAGCAGCCGGATCTGGCCGCCACGAAGCTGAAGAACAGCACGATTCTCATGGTGAACGGCAAGAAGATCGGCGTGATCGGTTACCTGACGCCGGAAACCAAGATCCTGTCGAGTTCCGAGAAAGTAATTTTCAAGGACGAGGTGGAGTCCATCCGGGAAGAAGTTAAGAAGTTGAAGGAACAGGGTGTTGACATACTCATCGCTCTGGGTCACTCGGGCTTCGAGACCGATAAGAAGATCGCCCGGGAGGTCGAGGATATTGACCTGGTGATCGGAGGTCACACGAATACCTTTCTCTATCGCGGCAAACCGCCGGACGTCGAGGTGCCGGAAGGTTTTTATCCAACGGAGGTGATGCAGAAGAGCGGCAGAAAGGTCTACGTCGTACAGGCGTACGCGTACACCAAATATCTGGGCAATATCTCCGTGAGTTTCGACATTAAGGGAGAGGTAACGCACATAGAAGGAAACCCGATTCTCGTGGACTCCAGCGTGGGGCAGGTAAATTTTCGAAACAGTACAAAAGAGTTGTTCGAATGACGTAAAAATATAATGTTATACATATAGATTATATGTATATTCTTTAAAAAGTGAATCAGGGGGGTCATCGCTGATTTTCAATGTATATCATTTTCTAATGACATACTTAGAACTGTGATAAACAATGAGCATTTAGATGTTCTTTTAGTGATAATTGATATACTGATTCACACAGTGAATATCGCTGAAAGACAATAAGTTTTCACACGGAGAGAATTTTTTTTTTTAATTTATCCTGCAAATCATGTTAATTGTGGGACAATATAGTATTTAGGAAAATTTTACTGTGCACTACAATAAATTTGACAGTAGTAAAATACAGTAAAATTTATTGTAATGCACAGTAAAATTTGCCTAAATACTATATTGTCCCACAATTAACATGATTTGCAGGGTAAATTAAAAAAAAAATTCTTTCCGTGTGTAATTCGGATAATTAACAGCACCATATATTTAAATCGTATATTAATTTATATAATGCATATTATAACATATATTTAATTTTTTGTCAAATATTTAGGTATACATATATATATATTAGGTAATTCTTGATGAGGTAGATAGGATTATAATACGTTCAGAATTATCATGTTAGTTATAGTTTTTTTTTTAAATAAAGAAAAAATAAGAAAGTCATGGAAAAGTAATAAGATTATTTCTTGCTTAATTCATTTTATGCAACGTTAACGTTCAGCAAATCATTTCTGAAAGATTATTATCGATTTTACATTAGCTGCATAGACTATTAGCACCTATATACCTGTATACATACACATGAGTCATGTGTAAAATACATGTATAGTAATATCAGAGAAAGTATTGATTACGTTGACTGGAATCTCAAGGAGCGGATTACTCGCTCCTTGAGACGTAATATTAAGTTTTTATATACTTTAAGACGCAGATTGTGCGCGAAAACTACAGTTTGCTTCATGATAGTAATAAAATATTGATTTACATCGATATCTTCAATCATTTCAATAGAAATTAAATAATTAAATACACTACGAAAAAAAATTACTTAAAACAAATAAATATGTTTTAGGTATTCCTCAAAGAAATAATTTTCTTGAAGCAAGTAAAATTTTTTTATTTTAAGTAAAAGTGTCTGCACTGAGAAAACAAATTACTTAAAACAAAAACATTTTACTTGCTTCAAGAAATTATTTTTTTGAGGAGTACCCGAAACATATTTAT